CGAGATGGTTGGAGCCAAGGAGGCGAGAGTCGAGAGAATGAGAAGGAATGATTTCACTATGGAGAGGTTCACAACATATAGGGCAGGACAAGGGGGGGGTACACCACCAAGCAGGATATCAAGATAACTACACTAACGCTAGACCTACATGCAGTTATAACAGCATAATTCTTACATCCCCCCGTAACTGCATGCAGGAATAGCTAAGTGCAGAACACAACCTGCAGGGGTACACCTCGAACAGAGAAAACAGCAACAGCAGGCAAGGTAACACAGTAGGTACAACAGCAAGGGGGCAGGCACTCCTGCCACTCCTTCACTCTCCTCCCCCCCCCCCCCCCCACCTCAGAGGGACGGGGGGTTGGATGGTGTCACACCCGCCACCCACATGCCACTCCCCTGGCTCCCCCACACCCTCACACCCTCCCCCCAGCGGCAGCTGCAGCAGTGGGAACGAAAGGAGGAGGAGGGGAAGGGGATCACAGACACCCACACCCCCATACCCGCCACCTCCATACCCTCCCCCCCACGGCTGCACGCGCAGCAGGAAGAAGAAGGAGGAGGGGGGGGGGGGTTGGCGGGGAAGAAGCCGCCCCACGTCCACAGAGGGGTGGCGCACAGGGAAGGGCAGGGGCGGCTGCACCGAGGGCAGGCGCGGGTAGGGTAGGGGCGGCTGCACCGAGTGCAGGCGCATGTGAGGCTGGGGCGGCTGCTCGAAGGCAGGTGCATGTGAGGCTGGGGCGGCTGCTCGAAGGCAGGCGCGAGGTGAAGCAGAGGCGCCGTCGCGGGCGCCAGGGGCGGATCCGCAGCGGCCCAGGGCACCGTCGCGGGCGCCAGGGGCGGGTCCGCGGCGACTCAGGCCACCGTCACGGGCGCCAGGGGCGGGTCCGCGGCGGCGCAAGGCACCGTCGCGGGCGCCAAGGGCGGGTCCGCGGCGGCTCAGGGCACCGTCGCGGGCGCCAGAGGCGGGTCCGCGGCGGCGCAAGGCACCGTCGCGGGCGCCAGGAGCGGGTCCGCGGCGGATCAGGGCACCGTCGCGCGCCACGGGGCGCACGACGGGCAGGCAGGCAGGCAGGCAGGCAGGTAGACGCCGCGCGCCCGGGGCGCACGGCGGACAGAAAACCGCCGTGCGCCCCGAGCACACGGCGGGCAGAAAATCGCCGCGCGCCCTAGGCGCGCGGCAGGACGACATGTAGCGGAAGCAAAATGGTGGGCCCGTTAAGGAAGGCAGCAGGAAGGTTCCTGCTCTGAATACCATGTTGAAATAGTAGCAAGATTGGTTAGGTTGATTGGGACTAGGCTTAGTAGCTTAGGCCAAAGGAGGTCGAGATGGTTGGAGCCAAGGAGGCGAGAGTCGAGAGAATGAGAAGGAATGATTTCACTATGGAGAGGTTCACAACATATAGGGCAGGACAAGGGGGGGGTACACCACCAAGCAGGATATCAAGATAACTACACTAACGCTAGACCTACATGCAGTTATGACAGCATAATTCTGACACCTGAAACATATCACTACATGGGCTTTCACTAGTCCAGACAAAGCCTCCTTAACTGGCTTTAATTCATACAAGACTTCCGCTACGACATGAAGCTACCATCCTAAGTATACGATCCTATTCAATCATTTCAAATTCTAACATAATGAAATGTAACACTTTCTAAAATTTTGTATTGTGAAAAGGGGTACGTGTCAAACATATGTTTATATGTTATAGTTTAGGTAGGCTTTAGTGGGGTACTCACTGTGGGGTACAACCCCTTAGGTTTTCCTTTTGTACCAAACTCTCGATAGTCCAACACACCTTGCCTAAGATTCTAACAGTACGTGGCCAACACAACAAAGGTACCGTCATACCCCGGATATAAGCGCCACCCGCGGATAAGCGCCTGGCGCTTTTAATTGGCGTGTGGCGCTTATATCCGGTGCTCGATTATAAGCGCATACCTAAAAGGCTTACAGATTATAACCGCATACCTGTGCCTTACATTTTATAACCGCCACCCAGTTTTTTTCTTTTTTTTCATTTGAAGACCTTTTACATAATTAGTATACTAAAACATCATGTTAATTACTCTACAACTAGTTAATCTACTCCTACCTACGAGCCTCACACAGGCTTCACCATTTTCTACACTAGTTAATCTACCCTACTCTAATCATCAGCTGCAGTGGGGTCATCTGGGTCGGCCTCAGAGTCCGACTCAGGTTCCTCTACGTTGTTGCAGAAGAAACCGTGTGCTGCAATTTCATCATCCATGTCGACCTCCTCGCCCTCGAGCTCGTCTCGCCTGTGTTGCAGGCAGAGCTTGTCCTGGGACCCATCCAGGGCGTTGCTGATGCCGCAAGTGAGGAACGCCCGTTGAATGAGCTCCTTGGGAACGGACTTCCAGGCCGCCGAGATCCACTTGAGCGTCAGCTCGACAGGAGGCTTCTTGATGTTGCATGCCACGCAAATCCAGAAACCGGGTCAGCACGGGTTAAAGAAATAAAAACATAAACAGAAGAGCTGCACCTCTCACCTTTCTTCGTCAAGGTGTCGACCCCCTCACGCTCAAACCACTCCTGGTAGAGCTGGCGAACGGCGGCCTTGAAGGAGCGGTTAACCGCGACGTCGAGGGGTTGAATCTCCGAGGTGCAGCCAGCAGGGATAACCGCAGGGACCAGGTTCAGCTCGCCAAACTTCTTCTTCACCTCCGGGGTCAGGTGCCCAAGGGACTTTCCCTTCACCTCGTGCGACCACTTCTGCAGTCGTGCGATCGAGACGGCGAGGCACTTCTTGCGGTGGGCGAGATGGGTGGGGCCTTTTTTTATTCGGAGGGGGAAAGGAGGGAATTGGAAGGTGCTCGGGGAGACCGTCAGCAGCCCAGAACTCCACGTCGTCGTCCGCACCGGTAGCGGATTCGTCCAACGGGCAATCAGCCGGCGCTCCCCATCGTGGCTCCGGTGCGGAGGAAGATCCTTCGCCGCCGCTGCGTTCAGGCTCGGACAGGAAGGCGTCGAACGCCGAGTAGCCAGGGGGGAGGAGAAGCTGCAGAACCCCCTGTCGCGGAACACCAACAGCAGGCGGGTCAGGAGGGGCCGGAGGAACGGGAGGAATAGGAGGCGCCGGGGGAGCGGGAGGGGTAGGAGGCGTAGGAGGCGTGGGAGGAACGGGAGGCACTACTGGTTGTGGTGGAGGGACGGGCGCAGGGCGCGTCTGCCATTGAGAGTAGTCACGAGTGTCTCTGCGGGTATTTTCTCTAGCAGCAGGTTGGTGGCGGAACAAGAAATGCGTGCTTGGAAGGCCCGCCATGGCCACGGCAGGCCAAACGAACGAAGAAAACTGAACCAAAAGTTGGGAATGAGGGCCGTATGAAGCCCTCGCCCGAGACCCCTTCAGTTTCGCGGCCCGGCCTCCTCTGCGGGGAAAGTGTGGCCACAGTCAAGATTCCCCGCAGAGGAGCTGAAAGGGACAGCTCTTTGCCTCGGTGGCAGGGAATCTTGCTGTTGATGGGCACGTCGTGGCTGAACCACGACGTGCCCACGATCGCATGCAACCCTGATTGGGCCGCTGTGATGCGAAGTACGTGTGCCCTGGCATGGGCCAGGTTCACGTTCGATGAACCTGGCCTGGCCAACAAGGCGTGGAAGGCGTGATGCCACGCCTTGTTGGCCGTTTCATGCGCAAAGCATGCACAGAGTCGAACGTTATCGACTCAGGTCGATCCGCCTTTGAGAATGCTTCGATTTGGTATATTTAAAAACAAAATTCATTTTTGACATAACATAAACGCCGGCGCTTATAATTTTACTATATTATAAGCCCACCCCCTAAAAAAAACATGTTTTATTAGTGCCCCCCATGGGGGTATATCCGGGGTATGACGGTACCGTAAGCCCCCGGATAGTAGCGCCCCTGGGGGTATAAAAAAACATTGTTTTTTAGGGGGTGCGCTTATAATCGAGGATTTTTATAAGCGCATGCGCTTATATAATGACATTTAGGAAATGCGTATTTCTTACACCAAATTGTAGATCACGTTCTTGCAATTTCAATCGAGTCGAAACTATACAGGGCTGGAATTGAGAATCTCGCGCCAGTTGGCGGGGAATGATTCCCTGCCAACACACACAGTCAGAATGAGTCAACTTACGCTCATTCTGACTGGACGCGCAGGCACCGAGCCGAGCGAGGTGAAGGGCTTCGAAATTAAATCATGTGGGAATGGAAAATGTGAGTTTCGTTACAACGATTTCAGTACAATCATAGCAAAACAAAACAGAGGGTGGCGCTTATAATCCGTAAGCCTTCAAGGGTGGGCTTATAATCGAGGACCGGATATAAGCGCCGTCATCCTTTTATACGCGCCGGCGCTTATCCGAGGTCTGCGCTTATATCTGGGGGCTTACGGTAGCGCCGAAGCGCTACTCACCCTCTTTTGCCTACAAAAGAGGGACGTGGGGACATTCGTCCCCACCCACGTTTTCATTTCCGAAATTGTAGTTCTAATTTCCCACCCGCCCACCCATTTGTGTATGCTGTTATGTAGACCTATATACGGTATGACGAGAACGATGTAGTACAACCCATATGAAATGATAAGTCAGCCTAAGTAGACTTTCACAATCTATTGTCTGCTTACCAAGCCTCTAATCCCCTCCCTCTTCAAAGTCAACCATCTACCATACAACCCCGCAAATTGCTGGCTGACTCAGTGTGTGTGCGTTGTCCCCAGACAACCTAGATGAAACGGTAGGTAACATGCAGACTAGTCAGTGCTGGCAACATGCACCTCTAACCATAGTGCCCTCAACTCAATGCTCGAAACGGAGGCGCCGCTAGGGGCCGTGGGGCCGTGGAGTAAGTACTTATGCCTGCTGTGCCTCAGGGAATTTACGGTTACGCCCAGCAGAATCCGCAACAATCACCACAGCAACCACACGAAAATGCAAGTGGAATTGGGATATAATTAAAGATAAGTGTAGGTACACGGTTTTTTATTATATATCGACATTCTTAAGAAGTCACCGACTTGACGATGGCGCCAGCGGTAAGCACAGCAACGACCTCCACGGCAGCAACGGCGACAGCCTGGGTCTCAGCGGGAATGTCGCTCTCTGACGTAACTGGGACACCGACGGAGGGAGCAACAATGGGAGCAGCGGGAGACGAGGCAACCGCGGGAGCAGCCACTGGAGCAGCAGCGGGCTCCTCCTCAACAGCCTTCCTCCTAATGCCGAAAAGAGGGATGTCTTTAGCAGAAGCGGAAGAAGCGGGGATCGCAGCAAGAAGAGCAGCTAGGCCGAGAGCAGTGGCTGATCGCCGGGACACGACGTGCTTGTCCTCCGATGACGCTGCCTCGCAGCGGACAGCGGCGACTGACTGCCGGACAGCCTGCTGTTGACGGGGAGCCGCAATTTGGCAGCCAGCGAGGGACGCGGCGGAGTAAAGAACGCAGCTGGTCATGGTGGCAGCCATGGTTGCGATAAAATGTAATGAAATAAACTGCAAGCAAAGCTGACAACCAGACCAGCTGTTGATTCTTCTGAAGTCTCGCTAAGTGCAAAACACTGATGCAAAAGCTGCCTTGTTTTGGTGGTTTTGTTGAAGTGACAGCCTTTTCCAATCAGGCTCCAACAGCAACCGTCCGATGGTGTCCGCAACGGGAGGGATGCACCATGCAATTCAAAGCCCTTCAAAGCTCGCTTGCTGGCTTGGTCACCATACCACAAGTTTGTGGGGGTCCTAAAGGTTGGGGGATGAATCAATGCCAGGCACGTAAGCAGGCAAGAACAGTGAGGTGGCACTCCGGAGGCCACGGGCCGTGGATTGCCAATCTTGGGGTCCCCTGATTGGCGAACGATGTTCGCTTTTCAACCCGCAATCCAGCAAAAACCTCGGCACTGCTAACCACACCCACTAAGTTACCCTTCATTAGCACACCCGACATTCAGATGGGTAGTACAGTAGCCTTCGCATTACATTTCTGCTGTGAGAAAATAAATCCATCGGTACGAACAAATCAACTCTCAATACCCTACATCTCATTTATTCGCAAAGACCTCTTGGCGAGCACCATTCATACCTCCTGGGAGTTCTTGTATCAGAATATATACTACTAGGGGGGAATTCCTGTTGCAACTATGTGTCACCCACTCATTGTGGGAGCGGGGCAGCCCCCAACTCCGCCAGCCAAGCAGAGTGCAGGGGGCAAGGGTCGGGCTTGCCAGCGGCCACTGCAGCTTTTGACATGTTGTGGAACCAACCATTGCGCCACTCAAACTGGGGGGAGCGGCACAGGGGGCATGGTGAAGGGGAATGGGGAATGGGGAATGGGGGGCTTTGACATGAATGTGTTGAATGAGGGGCATGGCATGCATGGGGGAGATGGGAGAATCTGGCTATGGAATAGTAAGGAGAAACACCGTGTGATGACTCAAACGACATGACATGTTAAATGGAACAACAAGGTCCTACGAACAATCGAGCGCCTCAAATCATGAGATGTGCCATACAGCCCAGGGTTTAGGGAGCAGCAGCATCCGCAACCATACCACTTTAAAGGCTGTAAGGAAGTGTGCCATACCTTTACAATGGCTGTAAAGAAATATGCCGTACCTCTTTAACAGCCGTGGGGAAGTGTGCCACTGAGCAAGCATAAGCACACAGTCGCTCCACGAGCCCCTCATCGAACCCATCCACAGCCCCAGCCGCCACAGAAGCAGCCGCAAGCTCATTGATAAGCAGGGTCACGGCCTCCCTGTGTTGGCTCTCCACCTCCCCCACGGTGACGCCGCCGTTCCTCGCTCCCACCAGCATGAACGCACAGATCCACATCAGCTTCTCGAGTTGTGGCCGGCGGAAGGCTGATGGGGAAAGCACCTGTGGTCGAAGGAAGGTTGGGTGAGACAGCAGAGGGAAGGGGGGAGACGAGGGAAGATCTTGAGAAACCCCTAAGCTCGCTCCCACCAGCATGAACGCACAGATCCACATCGGTTTCTCCAGCTGCGGCCAGCGGAAGGCTGATGGAGAGAGCACTTGCAGTCACGGATGGGAGAGTGAGGAAGGGGAGAAATGGTAATAGTATTTTTCCCTTCCCACCGTGCAGCTGAGCCCGGCAAAACAAAGCCAGAGAAGGTAGTGAGCCCCTCGGGATTAACGAGTCGCTTGAGAGTGTCTCTGATTCCCCCCTCTCACCTTGCAGCTCAGCTCTGCAGACTTGAGTCTAGCAGCGACGGCCTCCGCCCACTTGCCAGTGGCGGCCGTGAATCTCTCAGGATTGACGTCCGTGATGCCATCCAGAGGCAGGGGGGTGTTCCGAGTGACTCTTTGGAGCGCCTCCACTCTTCCTTTCTCACCTTGCAGCTCAGACCAGCACACTTGAGCCTCGCAGCAACCGCCTCTGCCCACTTGCCGGTGGCAGCCGTGAGCCCCTCGGGATTGACGTCCGTGATGCCATCCAGAGGCGGGTCGCCCGCCTTGGCCACTGCAAAGTACACGAGCACCTGCGTGGCGTCCTGGAGGCCTCTTGAGGCGAGCCACGGGTCGAGCATTCCGTTTTGGATAAAGACCAGATCTGCAGGAGGAAGGAGGGAGGAATAAGGTGGAGGGGATATGGGGAGGGAAGAAAGGAAATTGATACACAAGCATGTAGCCCGCCTTGGCGACAGCGAAGTACACGAGCACCTGCGTGGCGTCCTGCAGGCCTCTTGAGGCGAGCCATGGGTCGAGCATACCGTTCTGAATGAACACCAGGTGTGCAGAAGGAGAAAGGAGGGAATACAGTGAATGATAAAATGGGAACGAGGAAGGGGATTGATTCGAGGGCCGTCCTGCGCACTCCTGGAAGAGAGCCATAAGCCGCGAGGAACTCATAGCCACCCAATCCCAATGTAACCCCTCACCTCAATCCAGGCAGCCTCGACTCAGGCCCTCAATTCCGGCTTTTCCTGTCACCTTCTCTCCTGGATTCCGGCACGGCGTCGACTGCCGCGTGAAGAGCGACAATCCGCGTGCACACAGATTCTGAGATGCTCTTGGCGATGATGCTCAAAAGTCCTCAATTCCAGCATCTCCTCCTACCTTCTCTCCTGGATTCTGGAACGGCGTCCACGACGGCGTCAAAGCATCGTTCCGCGTGCACATGACATTTGAGACGTCTCCAAAGTCCTCTTTTCCCGCATCCCGCTCACCTTCTCTCCTGGATTCCGGCACGGCATCCACGACAGCGTCAAGAGCATCATTCCGCGTGCACACGATAATCGGCCCCTCCCCCCGTTCGGGGACTTTCTCCCCCCGCCGCACCACCACGTCCCGCCCTCCGCCCATCTTCTCCAGCGCCTGCCCCACGCGCCCCGCGCCGATTATCACCGCGGGGACCACTTCCGCGGATGCCATTGCGCGCGGAGCGAAAGAACGCGCGCAGGACGTTGCGCGCTGCGCGGGGCTTGTTGCGCGATGCAGAAGCGAGCTTAGACCGTCGGATGCGGAGGTGGGTGGGCTGGTGGGAGTTGCGCAAATGCGGAGCGGAACGGCGGAAGGTGCAGCAGCGCGCAGAAGGAATGCGGGGCGCGAATTGGCGCAAGTGAAAGAAGCGGGGAGGGGGGCGAGAGCGGAGGCGCAAGCGCGCGAAAGCGGCATGGCGGAGGCAGAAGTGGCGGGGGGATGGGGGCAGGGCAGCTAAAATGTGATGACCAGACTAAGCAGTTCTCGAGAAATTTATTGGGAGGTAATTTCAAGGTGGCTAGGAGATTCTCGAAACACCGTACCCGCTTCAGGGTTTCGGGCACAAAACCGATATAGGCAAAGTACACAATTGCGAAATTTAGAATTGGAGGTAGAAACTAAGTTCACGACTTTTAGAGCACTCACATCTCCTACTGCACTCACAGATTTTCCCTACCATAATTTCGAAAGGCATGCTATGCATCATGCCTTCCCCCTACAAAGCCTTGATCAGAGTAGCCTCTGTCACTACAGGACTTGCTAGTGCTATCACACCTTTGCCTATCCCACACGTCCGGGGACCTGAGAAGTTGCAAGTTGCACGATGGCACCCAACATCACACCCCCCCAATCCCCAACCTTTGTCTGTACTGCAAGGTTCAGTTCAGTCGGTCACTGTCATGTGCCTACTACTAGCCACCCCTGTAGCTCATTTCCTTTCAGGTGCAACAAAGCTAAGTACAGGTATCAGTGTACCAAGTGTCATGTGACTTGTGCCATGTTAGATGCGGTGCCCTGATATGCGGCACAGCAAAGTTTGGTGCCATGTCATACCATGCCACACACGTGGGCGGGAGTTCCCTGAGGTGTGTGGCGCAGCAAATTGTGACACGACTCTCCGAGGAGTGTGCAGTGCAGTCGTCAACGCACGGCGACACATGACGTCACCCATGAGGGTTTGGCAGCAAGTCATCCGTACCGCATTGCACTGCATCGTGGTAAGGGTCTCTTGTTCCAGTCCAGGCACATACACTTGATAAGAGGTTGGCAGGGTCACTTAGGAGCAGCCGTCTGGCGACACTAAAAGTCTCGATGCTTTGCTGGATGTTTCTTTGGCAAACGCCCCTGGGTCAGCTGCATGTGTTGCTGCTCCAGGCGACATCGATACATGTCACTTTCCACACCACTTCACGGCATGTCACTTGCACCACACCTCCTCCCTCCCAGCATGTCACTTGCTCCAGGGCCAGAAGCGGGAGGAGTTAGCAAGGGTGCAACCCAGGGCGAAGCTGAGCACACCATCCACAGCCAAGAGCTTATCGGTTATCACGTCCTGCCATGCCATGCCATCCAACCCATGCCAAAACGGCAGTGATTGCCATGCCCAAGAGTAGAGGGTCGATGGGAACAATCCACACAAGGACAGGTGAGAGGTTGGATTGTGTTCCTTTGCATGAGTCTTTTCAGTACTGCAATCACCATAAATAGAGGTCATGCAATGAGCCGGGGAGAGCGAGATGGATAAGGCATAATGATGAAAGAGGAGAGGGAGAGAGTGTGGGTTGGGGAGGGTGGAGATACTGGTGAGGAGGCGGTGGGGAAAGCAGATGGAGTGTGTGCGTTGCACGTACAAAATGAGGGTCCAATCCGTCAACCTCAAATAACATAACTCCTGTGCCCGCCTCCTGATTGGTGCGCCCCTGTTGGTGGTGGTGCGGGGAAGAGAGGACAGCGAGAGCAATTGGAGCAAGTGGGGATTCACAGCAAAGGAAATTTCAGCGAAACTGAAGAAACGATAGATAAAGTAGGTGTTTAAGAGCGTATCGATGAAAGCAATGTGGAGAAAGGCAAACAAACAAACAAACCATGAGGGCAATTGCAAGGTGCACGAGTGCAGGCCCAGCTCACCGCATGTGTGCAGATGAGCAGGCCAGAATCCGTCACTATCTTGGAAACTTCCGCCAGCATCCCTGCAGGCGCACGTGGAAACAGAGTCAGGGAAGGGACAGGGGTGCAGATAAGAGAGAGAGCTCTAGTGGAGCGGAAGTGCAAATAAGAGGAACTGCCTCCAGATTGTAATATGATAAGCACTTCAACTCTCTCACCCAACCTATGGCATCACAAGAACGTCACCACACTCCCCCATTTTATAACAACACAAACACTTGAGCGCACTCACCTGTGCGGTCGTAGCACTGCACTGCCAGCCACAGCACCACCTTTCTGCGGCCACTCAGGAACTGCCACATGGCAACGGTCTGCGTCTGCCACTCCTCAAACTCCGCAAACGCATCCACACACGCCCCCCCTCCCTCTGACGCCCTCCCTCTCTCTGACGCCACTGATGGCTCTAATGATATGCTTTCAGCCCCAGCAGCAGCTCTTGCTGCTTCTGCTGCCATTGCCTGGGGACCTGCTGCTGTTGGCTCCGATACTGCTGCTACTGCTGGTGCGGCTGCTGCTGCGGACCCTCCCGTCTTGTCACGTGGCTGTGGCGAAGAGCCCACTGCCTGTGGACGAGCCACACCGTTACTTTCTCCGTTCTCTCTTCCCACCACACTCGCCTCTCCACCACCCCCACTTCCATCCAGCCTTGCTTCTCCTGTCACCCCCTCTAATAGCCGTGATACTAGCTCATCTACCCCCTCCTCTCTGCTCCCTACCCCGGCACCACCACTCCCGTCCACGTCATATCTGCTCCTGCCTTCCAACAGCTCCATATCAGCACTAGCCAGCAACACGTCAGCATCGCCCGCCGCCAGCCGTGCGGATGCCACATCAGCAGCAGCCCCGTCGTCAGAAAACCGCAAACCCTCTGAGCTGCTTTCACCAGCAGGATACCCTCTTCCAGCCATCCCTGTCTCAGATCCCACCTCCCCCGGTTCAACCCTTCCTAATCCCACCTCTCTCCCGCTCACGGTACCATCTATGCTCCTCCCCACTTCGCCTGAGCGCCCCTTTCTAGACCCTGTACCTGCTTCTCCCTCTCCCACTGCCAATCGCCCCTGCCTCTCCTTGGTGGGAGTCTGGGGAACAGCTGTTGTGGCGGATGGTGTGGATGAACGAGGGGGAGGGGAGGCTGAACGGGTGGTGGATGGGGACAAGTCGAATGGGAGTGATGTTGATGGTGACTGTATGGAGGGTGATTGAGTGGGTTGGCTGGTGGGGACAAGGGAATCCGAAATAAGAGGCAAAGTGGCCGATCCGTTGTTATTGCCAGACATGACGCTGCTGCTGCCACCACCGCTGCTACCGCCACTGCTACTGCTTGTGGCAGTGTTGCTGCTGCTACTACTACTACCACTACTGCTGCTGCTGCTGCTGCGGCTGCTGCTAGCTGCAGTGCGGGCGTCAGCGGATTGCAGGTCTATAAGGAACTCGTTGATTCTGTCTGCCGTGATCTCATGCGAATTCAGCGCACCCTGCTCCCGCAAATACTGCACCATGCAAACAAAAGGCAACCAATAACAAATACGCATCAGCATTGTGTGCTGTCTCGGTCCCCTCCAAGGTTTTTTTCCGCGTTTTTGCCATACCTTTGTGAGTTTGTGCCTGGCACTCCTTGTCTTGGCGTGCTGCAGCCACTGTTGGCGCTGCTTGAAGCCCTTGCGGGAACCACCAGACCCGCCCTGGTGAAAACCAAATCCATTGTGGGGGGGCGAAGAAGCAAGCAGGGAGGTATGCCTTGAGCCACTTCTCGTCTCAGGATAACAGTGATGGCCTTCCTTCCAAGCATGAGAATGAAAGTTCAGAGCAGGTATTTTGGGATGTCGGATCGGGCTTTAGCAGCAAAGTAGTGCAACTACAGGGCTTACTTGGTGTACGTGAGAAGAGCCTCATCGACCTCCCCATTCATGAAACCAGATCCGAATTCTCAAGTGCGTAAAGCAACGTTGTGAGGATAACTCACATGACTTACTTTGTATGTGCGGACCTCAACGACCTCCCCATTGGACAGGGCATACGTGGGCGGGACAAAGTTGCCATTCACCTGGTTGCACGGGGGAAGCAGGGAAGACGAGGGAAAGAGAAGGGAACGAAAGGGAGAAGAAGTTGGGAGACGGGATGACACGGGTGCGAGGGAGATCAGGAGCGAAGGATTTGAAAAGAGGGTTTTGGACGGAGGGATAGGTCGAGAACAATCGTGACGGCACAGCAGCAGCAAATGCACCCTTAGCTGCACTGCAAGTGTGTCTGAGCCATCACGCACGCCATCACCACCCATCGCACCCACCTCCCCTTCACTTTCTCAATCAAAATGCACGATTGTCGTCTCACCTTGGCAACCATCATTCTGTTGCTCACGTCCGTGTGGGTGTGGCAGGCGTAGTCTATCACAGTGGCACCTCAAGGGATGACCAGACACATCTCGCCCATCGCACCTTCGCTCTTCACTCAGATCTCCCATTATCTTCTCACCTTGGCGGCCACCATTCGGTTGCCCACGTCAGTGTGGATGTGGTATGCGTAGTCAATTACAGTGGCGCCCTTGGGGAGGTTCTTCACCTCCCCCTTGGGCGTGAACACAAAGATCCGCGACCCAAACAGGTCGCACGTTACCGTATCCACAAACTCCCTCGCACTGATCGCCCCCACAAACTCCCTCAGCTTCGCTCCTCAATCAGATTGCACAATTCTCTGCTCACCTTGGCGGCCACCATTCGGTTGCCCACGTCAGTGTGGATGTGGTACGCGTAGTCAATCACAGTGGCGCCCTTGGGGAGGTTCTTCACCTCCCCCTTGGGCGTGAACACAAAGATCCGTGACCCAAACAGGTCGCACGTGACCGTATCCACAAACTCCCGCGCGCTGATTGACCCCACAAACTCCTCCTGCCACTCGCGAATCGAGTTCAGCCAGCTCACCCGCCGCGCCACATCAGCGTCGTTGCTCCAGCTGCTCTGTGTCTCAGTCACCCCCCCGCACACCGCAATGCTGCTTATGGTAGAGGCAAGAGGAGGAAGGCCCGGCTCGTCGTCACTTCCTGAGCTGTCGCTATCCCCCTCAGAATCATCTGTGGTTGAGTAATCCAAGCCTGGGAGAAGCAACCCAGCTAGATCCTCCGACCCATCAGCTAGCTGCTTCACCTGCCCCTGTCCCTCCTGCTTCCCCTTCTGCCCTTGCTGCGCCTGCCCCTCCTGCTGCTGGCCGTGCAGCAGCAGGTGGGGGTGGCGGCCAGTGTGGTGAGCAGCGATACCCCACTCGGCAAGCTTGTCCATGTGGTCGGTGCGGATCTGCACCTCCACGGGGAAGAGAGAGGATGCTCCCAGCGGCAGCACCGTGGTGTGCAGGCTCTGATACCCGTTCGGCTTGGGCGTTGCTATGTAGTCCTTCACCTGCCAAGAGGCGGGATGGGAGTGGGGGATGGGATTGGTTCAAAGGGGAAGATGAATGGGCGAGGAGCCAGAATAATCAGCGGCAGCGGCACGGAGGTGTGCAGCCCTGGTACCAGTGCTTGCGAGACGGCGCCAGGGGAAAGAGGCAGGAACGCGAGACGAAAGCGAGAAAGCAGGGGAAAGCTGAACCAGACAGATGGTAGCACTAAAGGGAAAGAGTTCTTACAGTGCCTGGGAGAGGGCGCCAGAGGGCGTGCACGAGGCCCAACACATGGTAGGACACCTGCAAGGGGGGGGGGGGGGGGGGGGGGGGCAAGGACAGACAGCACGAGGAATGGGGGGTGAGCATGTAATGGAAGGATTGCTGCAAGAGTGAGTACTGGAGTGGATAGTGCCTGTGAGTTCAAAAGGACTGCAGTGCAACGCCATGCGTTACTGAAAATCATTCTGCTCATCTTCACTCCCCTTCTCCACCCTCCTTTCCCTTCTAATTGTCGTCCCTTCCCCCACAACCTTTTCCAGTCTTCTGACCCTTTTCTCCCCCTTCTCTTCTCCAAACTCGTCCCGCATCACACCTGCTTGTCCCCGCTCCCAACCCCTCGTCCCTTCCCCCACAACTCACCTGCTGCGCAATGTTCCGCGAGCTGCTGTCCTGCTGGTCATCCGCATCGTCCATGGAGAGCAGAGCACCACACGGATCTGCGAGATCTCGTCCCGTCCTCCTCCCCTACTCACTCCTCCTTCTTCCCCTGCTCGCCCCTACTCCCCCCACTGCCCCTCCTCCACCCTCCTCTCTCCCCCGTCTCCTCACCTGCTGCGCAATGTTGCGCGAGCTGCTGTCAGGCTGATCATCAGCATCATCCATGGAGAGCACCACGCGGATCTGAGAGATCTCGTGAATCTCCTCCACCTTGGCACCAGTCTCCACCACCTTCTTGAATATGCTGCACGGGAGGTGGGGGGGGTGGGGGGAGGGAGGGGTGGGGGCAGGAGAGGGAGCAGGCAACAGGGAGAAGAGAGGGGACGCGTTATGAGTCTTCTCAATACTCAAATTGCGAGATCTCGTGGATCTCCTCCACCTTGGCTCCTGTTTCCACCACCTTTTTTAATATGCTGCACGGGAGAGGGGAAGATCGGGAGGAATGGGAATCAGGCAGGGAGGAGGGGGTGAAGCGGCGAGGTGGGAGCAGGGAGAAGGGAGGGGATGTGGTCTGAGATGACTGAGAGGTTTCTTAGGTCTCCTCCACCTTGGCACTGAGGCGATTCTGTGCTGTGAGGGGGGCCGGAGCGTAGGCACTGAGAAACGGGAGGAGAGGCGAGTGAGGAGAGGAGGTAAGGACAAGGGCAAGACAAGGGCGGGCAAGACATGCGCATGGCAAGAAGGCATGTAGACGAATCAAATACGAAGGACAGCCACTCCTGTACAGTTAGTAGTCATGCGCCATGTCACATCGTCTTTCCATTACTTGTTGCTGTGTCTCATCTCTCACCTGTACGGTTCCTTGCACCGAGTCTCCACCCTCGCCCCTGAAGTCATGAGATCCAAAAACTTGTCCTTCCGCATTGCTTCCTCTAGCATTACACGTGCCTGAGCGGGAGAGAGAAAGGAACGGCAAGTACTTAGACAAGATACGAGAAGAAAAAAGACAGGCATGCTGGTACAGGTGACCAAGGTTGTGTAATGTTGATAGTAAGCCCATTTGATGTCATCTGTTTCAAGCGATGATACGGACCTCATCCAGAGCAGTTTGTTGCTGCGTGCAGAGGTGCAGCATGCGCTCAGACACATCCAGGTACTCCTCAGGGTACGCGTACCGGAATGAGAGGTCCTCTAACTCCGTCTGAAAAGGGATGTTGAGCGAGGGAAGGGGAGAGAAGGTGGCCTTTGAAGTGCGTCTCAGAAAATGGGGCAGAGGTGCAGTATGCGCTCAGACGCGCCCAGATACTCCTCTGGATATGCATACCAGAATGAGAGGCCCTCCAGCTCCGTCTGAAAGGAGGAGGATGAGAGAGGGAGAGAGAAGGTGGGTGCTGAAACGTCTCAAAGCCATGCAGAGGTGCAGCCTTCGCTCAGACACGTCCAGATACTCCTCGGGATATGCATACCGGAATGACAGGTCTAATCCCGTCTGAAGGGAGGAGGATGGGAGGGGGGGAGAGGAGGTGGGTTATGAGACGTTTCAAAAGGCGTGCGGAGGTGCAGCATTCGCTCATTCACGTTCAAATAGTCCCACACAACTCACCCCCCCTAAGGCACACCTTGATGTGGTGCATGCTGTAGCAGCAACGTACATGCATGCTGACAGTCCACACACAACACAACACAACACACACAACCCCCCTACCACGCACCTTGATGTGGTACATGCCGAGCAGGCGGGCGAGGGGAGCGAAGACGCTGAGGGTCTCCATAGCGATGTACTTCTGCTTGTGAGGCGGCATGTGCGTGAGCGTGCGCATGTTGTGTAGCCTGTCCGCCAGCTTCACTATAATCACACGGACCTGTGAGGAGGGGAGAGTAGAAAAAGGAAGAGACATAATCACACATAAGGTGCGTGAGCGTACATGTGTTGTGCAACCTGTTTGCCAACTTCACTTTAATCACAAGGACTTGCAACTATGGGGATAAGGGGTCAGTCAGGGAATAAATCATGTGGCGTGTGCTTGAGCAGGACGACAAACAAGGAGGAAGGTGACCCAGGGAGGTGCCATCAAGAGAATGGCACCTCAGAGCCTCAGAGCATGACTCTGAGGGACCTCCAAGCATCCTTCATGTCTGCCCTACTCCCACCCCACCTCCTCTGTCATGGCGAGGAACATCTGGCGCAGATCGTCTGCCTTCACGTCTGCCTTGCTACCATCCTTCACCTTGCCCAGCTTCGACACCTGCCAGAGACACAAGTGGGGAAAGTAAAGAACCCAGTAGCTTCTTATCCGACCAGCAGCACCAAAGTCAGCAGCTTCAGCCACAAGAGTTAGTCCCAGCAGCTCACCACCAGTGACAACACCACCCACCCATCCATCACAGCGTTCTTCCACCCATTCAAACTGTTTGTCTCGTTTGAACCCTCCTCGTACCTTGGTTTTGAGCCACGCACCTTGGTTTCGCCCTCCACGATGCGCCGTACAGCCAGCCCATAGGAGGCCTCGATCTGCTCGAAGGACACCACGTCCGTGTCCTCCACTGTGTCGTGCAACAGCCCCGCCACCACCGTCTCCCAGTCCATCTCCTGGTGGGAAAAGGGGACGAGGAAGGAACACAAGGGGAAGAGGAAGGAAGAGGGCTGACAGTGAGCCCATGCACGTCGATGTCCTCCACTGTGTCGTGCAGCAACCCTGCGACCATCGTCTACCAGTCCATCTCCTGGTGAAATGAGAGGAGGGAAGAGTGGTGGGTGTGGGGAGAAGCATGCCAATAAGCCCATGCGTGGCATGTCGTGTACTCCACCATGTCGTGCAGCAACCCTGCGACCATCGTCTCCCAGTCCATCTCCTGGTAGCATTGGGTCCGTGCAGAAGGGAAGAACGGAAGGATAAGGGGGGGTAAGAGGGACGGGTGTGGGGAGAAGCGTGACAATAAGACCTTGGACATCCATGTCCTCCATGGTGTCGTGTCGTGCAGCAGCCCCGCCACCACCGTCTCCCAGTCCCCATCTCCTGGTGAGAAAAGGTAGTACAGGGTTCGTGCATGAGGAGAGGAGGGAAGAGAGGGGGCAGTTGAGTGGGGGAAGAGGTGTCATGATAAGCCAATGCACGTCCGTGTCCTCCACTGGGTCGTGCGGTAGCACAGCCACCACTGTCTCCCAGTCCATCTCCTGGCGAGGTGGGGAGAGGAAAGGGAGGGGAGGAGAGAAAGAAACAGGGGGGATGTGCAACAGGCGAGGTGCCTTCTCCCGTAGCAGCGTCTGTTATGTGCATGTATATGCGCATGCGTGCATGCATGTACGCATGTGCTTGTGCTATGTATATGTGTAACATCCATGTGTGTGCCAGATGCGGTGACCCACCAACCCCACCAACACAACACCAACCCACCAGTTGCCCCAGTATCCGGGCGACCTCCACGGGGTGAATGATGTACGGCTCTCCACTCTTCCTCTTCTGCCCGTCATGCGCCCTGTACGCCAGCTGACCACACACACAGCATGCCGTTATGGTTGCGCACATAGGGTGGGGAGGGAAGGGGAGGAGCGCAGGAGGTGTGATGGCGGAGAGAAGGGATTCAGATACAAGACGTGCAGCAGCAGCAGCAGCAGCAGCAGCAGCAGCAGCAGCAGCAGCAGCAGCAGCAGTAGCAGCAGCAACGTGGAAGCAGATGCAGCTGCAGCAGCAGCGGGACGAGGGGTTCAGAGCGTGACAGAGAGGGGCAAGGGGGCGCGAAGAGCGTGCAAAGAGGGCGACTCCATGCAAGAAACAAACAGCGGGGCATTTGTTCCCTGGAGTTGACAGCAGTAAGGTGAGAGTTGACTCACTCTCAAGGCGTGGCGGACGACTTGCAGTTGCGTGGGGGAGAGGTACGTGATGCACGGCAGCAGCTCCTGCAACAGGCAGCAGCATCCCCGTCCCCACCCCCACCCCACAATCCACGCGCATGCGTCAGTGGGTTCAAAAGCCAATGAGTCATCTCAACGAATTGCTCTGTTCAGATCAGAGCAAAGGCACAGGCATAGTATAGACTTGCAAAAACGGTGCTGGCGCAGCAACGCTCAGCACCCGCTGCTCCAGTCGACTCCCTTCCCTCCACTTAACACTCACTCACCTCCCATAGAGTATCAGGAGTAACCGCCGGAGGTGCCTCAACAGACGCAGCAATGGTAAACGACGAATCGCCACCTGCGCCGCCTGGGTACCCTGCAGTGCCGAACGAGGCTACAGCGCCGTTTCCGTTACTGTTACCAGTCTCATTCGAGTTCCCTATCCCACTGCCTGAATTTCCAGTGACGCCACTGCTGCTAGCATTTGCCCTGCTACTGCTGACTCGACCATTCCCTTCCGTCTCCCCATCATTACTACTATTTGAATCCGCAATGACTGAATCTCCGCAGCTGCTGCTGCTGCTGCTGCTACTGCTGGCGCTGGTGCTACTACCGCCTGCTACACCGCTTTCCCCCGACCCTCCCGGTTCCGACTCTAAGAATCTCTCCCCTGCGGACCCTTGGGATCCTCGCGCGAGAACGCGTCTGCGGGAGTAACGCCTACGACATCCCTGGAAGAGCAACAAAGAGAGGAAAATATGCTAAATTACTTGAAGACAAAGATAAGGCCGTTGTTAAAGCAGTGGTTTGCGGGTATGATGTTTCGGGGAAGGATTGATGGGTGCGTACTGGTGAAGGGAGGGTGACACGTGGAGCTACGCCGACGCACGATACGCAGCCCTGTGCAGCGCAAATCAGGCACGCGCGGCCGTTCAGCCATCCGGATCTTTGCCTCGCGAAATCTTGACCGTTTGATGTGGAAGAACAATCAGCTGCTGCTGTTGTTGCTGCTGCTGCAGCGGACCGACATTGCGAATTACGTTGCCGCGTTCGCCCCGAACCTGAGCTCTTGGTCTGTTGCGTGGTTCGGCGAGCTGGAAGGAGGCTAGGACGCAATCCAGTAAGCTCTGGAGTGGGAGATGAATGGGCACCAGCAGTGCATTGGATAAAAAAACAGTGTTCAAGCAGCTGAGGGAAAAAGCCGATACAAGTGGATATAGGAAAACAAAGATACACAAGAAACACGTTAACCAGGATAACGGTCCTGTCAGAGAGAATCACACCTGACGTACAGCATAACCTAAAACTGTGAATGTGAGAAAAACATGGACCGGCAGTGAAGAACGGACGTCCATACGGATAAAGACCGAGATCTTGTTGATACAAGACTCTGACGAATCATTGATCGGAAATGCACGGGAAGCGAATGCTTAGGGTAGTGGATTGCCTGAACGGTATGGCATATTCGTCAACTACATCGACCGTATGCAGTGAATCTGATGCGGCAGCGCGTACGATAGGAGAGTAGGAGCAGTGATGAGAACAACAGTGCGTTGGCGATTACCTGAAAGGGAACTTGTGATGGCAATCGAACGGTCTGAGATTCCGACGCGGGTCGCCATGGCACGTATCAGGAACGCATCAACCAGTGATGACACGTGAGGCAGGGAAACCCTAACGATGAAACCACGGCACGAAGAGAATGCCTGACGCAGTGCAGAGGAACCGGACGCCTGAGTAACCTAGTATCAGCGACGCTGCGCTGGGCTAGGTTGATGGGAGCAAAACGCTGCTGCCAAATCTGGACACATGAAAGGACAACTCTCACTTACAGATGGTCACAGTTTTCAAGGGCAAGAATGACAGAAACAAGGGGAAAAAACGAATGGTACGGTACGGTAATACGGATGGACAAATGGATGGGTGGATTGGAACAAGGGCGTGAGAAAGAGATGCATGGAGCATGTGAGCTGCTTATCGGAGCAGTCTGCTTGCCAGAAGAGAATTGACGGACCAGTAGTTTGGTCAAGTTGCAAGATACAAAAGGATGACACAACACAGAACAGCCAGTTAGGGGCAGAAACCAGGGTTGTGGTGATGAACCGAGCAGTGTGTTATGGGCGAGGTGCCCTCGGTAGAAGACGCTTCACAAACTGTCACCTTTTCTGGCAACTGTTTCCCCCAGCACTTCTCCTGACAACAGGGAGGGAGGATTTTTGCGGTTAAGACAAGAGGGTTTAGGGTTTAGCCACTTCGCCCTTAGCCTGCCTCCGTTGCCTCCTCATGTGCTCCTCCGCTGCCCCCCATCCTCTCACCACTCCCCCCTCGGTCTACCCCCTCCCTATCGCGCAACCTTCATGCTCCCATCCAACACCCGCGCTCCCCCCCCGCTGTCCTTCCCTCCCTAAGAGCCCCCGCCCCCCACTGCCTTGCTGTCCCCCCCCCGCACGGCCGTCCGGGCCCCTGCCACCCCCACTTTCATTCTGCCCCTACCCACTCCCCTCGTTCCCTCCCTTCTCACTCCTCTCCCTGTGCCAACTGCCCCCCCTCACCCTGTCCTCCCCCCTGTCACCCACCCCTCCCTTACAGCCAAGGAAGAATTTGGCCCCTGGCGCGCACTCACCCTGCTGCAGCAGAAGGCCCCGGTGGCTGCCTTCCTTCGCGGTCGCCCTTAGCGTTACGACCTGCGCACCTTGGCTTTGATGCGTGGCTAGTTCCTTGGCTCTGTCATTTAGCAGGCACCCAGTTAGACCTTGGATATGCAACTCATGTGCGCACAATCATGTTTGTCAAACTCTACGTATTATCATTTTCCTTGCTAGTCTTCACTCCAACTCTCACATCTACGCAAAAAACCAAATACGCCATTTTTAAACCCTCACCCCAACAACTACTCAACCCCACACCTGCCTCACCCACCTCACGCTTCTACCAACCTTCACCCCTCGCGCACAGGCCAAGCCAGCCACCTCAGGCCCTGGCCAGCCCGGTGGAGTTGCGTCCCCCCGCACGCGTGTGCTTCAAGCCAACCACCATGATCACACACCCTCACAATTGTTGCCTTACCGTGAACAGTCCAAACCAAGCCCCAACAATGAACGACCTTCGCAGTCGGCTAACCCCCCAAAATACTAACACCAATACCCCAACCCCGCTTGACACTCGCCTAACGCGCAGCCATGTCAAGCTCACTCTCACCATGAATCACCAGAGCGAGCATCCACGCCTGTTTATCACACACGCCCCCATTTGTACGCCCGACCGCCGTCAGCGGCCGCAACACCTCCTCACACCCGCCTTAAAATCTCCCCCTGTAATCGTGGCCTCCCCTCCCGCCAGAGGTTCTCACTCGGTCGACGCACCTACCGACCGAAATCAACCCTCGCACGGACACAGAAGAGGCGAGATGGTCCCGCTAGAGAGCCCCCCTCGTCCGCCTGCCACCACGTTTGTTCCTGCTGACCCTCGTCCGCATGCCCCGCGTTACTTCGCTACTTGTTCTCATACGTCGTCATGGTTGACATGCTCCACCTGTGAATACGCTAGCACTCCCGACCCCCGGTGTACTCTCCTTCTCGTCACTACCCAGGAATACAAATTTTACTGCTCTCATAAAGGCAGACTCATCCCAAGCTTCACCTTGCCGCATTCAAGCATTATTGATCACACGCCACCTATCAGCTTCGCTACTACTCAAAACTGGAGCCCTTCACTTCTCACTCTTAAGTTTAACACACACTTGCTCAAGCTTCACTTGTATGCGGCACCTCTACACCCTGGTTCTGTCGCCCAACATCTCCCTACCTTCTTGTGCGCCTCTGGTGTTGTCCGAATCAAACCAGTATGCCAGCATACCCACCACCAACTTCGGTTCGCACTCGTTGACAGCTCGACTGTTACCCACAACCTCCACCAACTTCCTTCCCTTTTGTATGAACACCCACGCCCGTGGATCCGCGCACACTCCTGCGCGGTGGGCTCCCACCTGGTAGAATGTTAACGACCCTACGAGTCCGCTGCCTCAACATCAATGGTATCAATACGCCGGTTAAACGAAATGCTCTAAAGCGTTGGCTCTCCTCCTCCTCACCGCACACAGATATTCTCATTTTAGTGGACACACGCCTCTCCAAAAACCTACCTAAACTGTCACTCCAACTCCGGCCACACTCTTCGGTACACGCACCCACCCTCTACGCACTGAATTCAAACGGTCATCCATGTCCGCAACCCGGCGGCATCTCCATCTTATCCTTCAACAGAGCAATATCTCTCACCTCCCCTTCCCCCTCCGCCGATGGCCGCCTTCTATCCGTACATATCAACTTCCTGCGGGAGCAACTTCGCATCCTCGCTATCTATGCGCCGAGACCTGCCACTGACCGCCGGATCTGGTGGAGATCCATCCTAACTCCCGCACTGGAGCAACCCACCGCAGCTGCTGCCACAATCCTCGCCGGTGACTTCAACTCGGTAATCTCCCCCTCAGACCGTAACCGCCCGCTACTTGGTCACGAACTCAGCAAAGCCACCATGGTGTCTAATCTCCTGCTATCGCACGCACTGTCCGACGTGTACCGCTCACTCCACCCTACCGCCCCCGTTTTTTCCTACTTTGGCCGACGGGCCAGCGCTGGCACTGCTCTCCCGCCCGCCTCCAAACTGGACCGACTCTACCTCTCCAGTTCATTCATCCCTCGGGCCTCTGAAACCTCCTACCTCTGGACCCCAACTGACGTTTCTGACCACTCCTTTGCACCCCTCTGCATCCTCACATTCGACAACCCAACCATGGCACCGCGACCTTGGCGTTTCAGCTCCTCTCTCCTCCACCGGCCCCAAGTCGCTACCATAATCGAATCTCACCTCCCCTAGTTTGGTCCAGTTGCAAGATACAAAAGGATGACACAACACAGAACAGCCAGTTAGGGGCAGAAACCAGGGTTGTGGTGATGAACCGAGCAGTGTGTTATGGGCGAGGTGCCCTCGGTAGAAGACGCTTCACAAACTGTCACCTTTTCTGGCAACTGTTTCCCCCAGCACTTCTCCTGTCAGCGCATCAGAGAATGGCACCAGCCACACATCTGACGGGTTGACGAGATCATGGTGCCAACTTAACGGAAAATTGTCATAATTTGCCACGTCTGCTCATTCTGAAGGATCCTGCTGAGGGGTTTCCGACCAATAGCAGCAACTCATTTTGACGAAGCAACATGCAACGAAAACAACCCCACGAGTGGTAACGTTCGCGTGAAACTTCGGCTACATACACGCACTAAGAACAGTGAAAGGATCTGTCTACTTTTATGATAAACCAGACTTCTAATCTATGCTCACATATCCACCCTTCTCGTGCAAAAAGGTTCCCATAATAACAGTTCTCTTTTGGCAGTGGTGATTAAAAAGGATCTCCTGACTCGTTTTTAGAAAATTGCTACCCTGGAAGTCCATGACTTGGTCCAAACACATGCATGGTCTCTGCTGTTCTAACATTAGTACGACCAGGCCGCTTCACCCCAGCAGAATGGAGCATTTATGTTAGCATGGGTCTCACGCTACAGGTAATATATGGAAATTTATGATATAAAAATTTGTGCGTATTTCATTTCTCATTGCTTAAGAGCCCCTGCATTCTCCTCTATGACAAAAAAATATTCCTAGTTGTTCTCGTTCCTACTATGTTTGGTATACACCTTGCTCTGATCACACAATTTTCCTCATTCATGGAACTCCGCATACAGCGTAGAGCTGTCAAGCATTCCAACCATCTTTCTTCGACTGTCAGGAGGAAAGTTCGCATTCCTCTGTCACCGCTACTGTTGGCGTGTTAGTAGTATCCTTCGCTCGAATTTAGTTCGAGCGCTTGCTAGCAGTTAGCACATACGCCAGCAGCCATGGAGCCAGCGAGTGTTCAAACCGGTCAGCCAATGCAGTTCCAGCTGCACGGGCACGAGCACGCGGGTTATTTCATCGCCTCCGCTGCAGCCATAGTTCCGCCTTTTTCTAGCACTCCGCTCCCTCCTGCTGTCACTATCGCGGAAACGGATAACGAAGCACTTGGTGCTGACGGTTCATCCGAACGTGCTACGACCTGTAGCTCTTTCCTCAGGATTGCCGAGTCGGACCAAATATCTGCGCGCGCTGACGCGACATCCGAAAGTGACCATGTTCGTAGCGCGAGTTGTAACACCCTCCAACCAGCGGCCTCTCGTATTGGTCAAGCCACTGACAAGGCGGGCCTCACCTCTCTGGGGTCTGGACATGTGGACTGGACACGTGTCACAGCGTCATTGGTCGGCAGCGAGGTGGAAGTCAAGGGAAGGGGTAACGAAACGAGATTAAACCTGGTTCGGGGAGGTCAGGAGGGGAAGGAGCAAGAAGTTGGGTTTGAGGCAATGTGCCGTGGCCGGTATATGGATAGTTTAAGTGAGGAGCTCAATATTAGCATATTAGATTTTAGACCACTGGATGTGGCGCTTTCCCTTATGCATAACGCTGCGGTAAATTCTACAGTGAACGATGAAAAATCGTTACAGGACGCAAGAAGCGGAGCTGAGAAAGCCGCGGACCATGCTGACGTGGACATGACCCGTGTAGACGTGGAAGTGGTCAGCGATGACGATTTGGATGCTGATTCTACCACCCCTGGTACCGGTACTGCTTCTGCTGGTGGTGCTGGAGCTGCCGCTGGTGCTGATGGTTCTTGCCTTCAATCAGAGCATGGGAGCAGCAGCAAGTGTGTCACAAGAGGCCAGAACCTTCCGAGAAAAACTCCTGGCAAGGGAGGGGGAGCGGGAAGGATGCGGAGGGAAGCAGTGGAAAGAGGAGGTGGGGGATGGAGAGGGGGACGAGGAGGGGGAGGTGGTGGAGGGTCAGAGAGTGTCTGGGCGTGTGTTAACGAGTTTGTTGCCCGGAACCCTGTTCAGGTGAAAGCCCAGGTGATCTGTTGCCATGCCATGCCTTCTGGTTCCTTCCACCATTTCCCACCCGACAAAACACCTGAACGGAAGCAAAAGTCAACCCAGCAAAGTTCAAGTTCAGCAGGGACTAAAGAAGGGAAAACGGTGGACGCAGGAGGAGGAGAAGGAAGACGGGAGAATGGAAGAGAGGAAGCGGAAAGGGGGCAGGGAGGCAGTGCCAAGCATGGTGGTGGTGCTGATGCAAGTGGTAGTGGATGTGTACGTGCACAAGGACCTCTGGTACCTGCCTGCTAGATGGAAGGGAGGGGCTGCCACTGTCGCTGTTCTCTCCCATCTCCGCTCTGATTGGCCCATGCATCCGTGTCACCAGCCTTGTAGCATGCGGCGTGTTACATGTGCGTCTAGGTGTCAGATGTGCGATTGTGGTGTAGGTATGGGTGCGGGGGGTGTGGGTGTGGTGGGCACGGGTATGGGTGTGCTGGGGACGTCTCCTCCTCCCGGTCTTCCTGCCTGTGATGTGCATGGTTGCTCCCTCCATGGCTTTCTGAACTGCTCCTCGTTTCTCCGCTCACCAGCAGAAGAAGCCTCCTCTACAGTCATACCGCCTGCAGTCACACCAGCTAAAGTCACACCAGCCGATGCCACACCGCATACAGTCACACCTCCTCCGACCGACTCCTCTGACTTCAGCCTGTCTAGAATATTTCGCTCGCTGCCCAACCGATTCGACGCCCCGACAATCTACCCGTAAGTAAACTGCTTTCTGTCCCTCCAACCCACCCCCCCCACACCCCCGCCCTCTGCCTCTCTCCATACTTCCCCATTCTAATGTTTCGTTCATCCTTTCCTGCACTTAGGTGCTGCCTATATGGCTGGCTAGGTGTCCTTGGATCGTCACCTTAAACCTTAAACCCTCTCTTCAACCAAATTCTCCCACCTATCTATGCCCCTCCATACCCCTCCATGCCTCCCCCCCTCTCAGAGACCCCCCTCCAGCACCCCCTTCCTCCTCCGCCCCTCCCTCCCCCCTCCTCTCTCTCCCCCCCGACCTCCTCCTCCTCTCCCTCTCCCGCCTCTCCCCCACCGACCTCCGCTCTGCTGCTGCCACGTGTACACGCCTGCGCCAGCTGGCACTGCCAGCTGTGCCCAGCCTGCCGCACCTCTCCCTGTTCCCGCATCAGCGGTCGGCTCTACAGTGGATGATGGGGAGAGAGAGGGGGGTCGTGGGGAGGGAGAAGGAGGGAGAAAGGGGGAGAGGGGTTTCGCAGGGTTTTGTTCGGAGCCCGTTAGTGAGTGTGTTGAGGATGAGTGAGGAGGGGAGTGAGTGTGGTGGTAGTGGAGTGAGGAGTGTGAAGGGGAATGGCAAGAGGAATGGAGGGAGTGAGGGGAGGGTGATGCTGTGTGATGTGATTACAGGGGGGGTGAGGTTCCTATGGAACAACGAGAGGAGAAGTGGAAGGGGGAAGAGAAAAAGCAGAGAGTGGGAAGCAGAGGAAAGCAAAGGTGAGCAGCACGAAAGCATAAGTCTGCAAGAGGGCGAGAAGAAAAAAAAGGAGGCTCCGGGATGTTCAGGCTTGGCAAACTTAGAGCCCAGCAGATTAAGCATGGTACCAGACCTAGGGGACAGGTTCGGCATGGTGCCGGACATGCGGGGAGGTCTGTTCTGTGACGAGCCTGGGCTGGGTAAGACTGTGACTGCCTTGGCGCTGATTCTTAAGACTAAGGGGTTGCTGCCTGCTGTTCCTAGGGGGTGCCGACTAGTGGTGTGTGGGAGGAGGGGAGAGAATAGGGTCGATGGTTGGAGAGGAGGAGGAGGAGGAGGGAGAGGAGGAGGAGGGTTATGGAAAGGAGGGTGGCTGGGGTATTACGAGAGGGTTTTACCCGGAGAGGCAAGGAAAGGGAAGGAGTGGGAGAGTGGGGAAGCGAGGGTGAAGCAGGCATGGCATGGCAATGCGATGGGGGGAGGGCAGGATGGCGTGGATGAGATAAGGGGGAAGACGGGAATGGTGGAGTGCGGTTTTGAGGAAAAGGAGGGATGTCGGAGTGTATTGAATCCGATGCAGGGGAGTGGCAACAGGTGTGATGCGGTGCAGGTGGGTGGGAGTGAGATGACAGAAGAGCTATTAATTGGGGGCAGTGTGGTGAAAGCGAAGAGTTGTGGGGCGGATTCAAGAGGTGGGGCAGAGTTGAGAGGTGGGGCAGAGGCGGGGGAGAAAACTGATGGGGGTGGGGCGAAGGCCAGACAACAGGAGAAGGGTGAGGGAGGGGAGAGGAGTGAGGGAGGAGAGAAGAGCGGGGGAAAGGAAAAACCAGAGGGAGAGGCAACAGGCAAGGAAATGACAAAGAATGATGGAGAGGAAAATAGTGAAGACGAGTTAAAGAGTGAGGGAGAGTTGAAGATTGAGGGGAAGGAGGAGAGCAGGGGAGTGAAGGGTGGAGGGAAGAGCGGAGGGAAGGGTTCGAGGAGACCCAGATCGGGTGCTGGCAGGAGGGGCAGTGCAGCAAACAATGAATCGAATGGAGCAACACAAGAGGCAGGAACGGAGGCAGGAATGGAGGCAGAGATAGAGGCAGCAAAGAGTGCAATGGTCCGATGGGGAACGACAATGAATCCAATCCCAATGGTGCTTGCCTTGCAAGCGCCCAATGTCAAGACTCAGATGGACGAGGGAGCTGGGCTGGCAGGGAGAGCGGTCCAGAGCGGTTCTAGACAGCGTGCGCAAGAGAAGAATGTTTTAGGACCTATGGCATGCGTGGGGTCAGCTAGGGAAGGTTCTGGTGGGAAAGGTTCAGACAGAGTAGGGTCAGACGGTCAGGAGGAGGGTAAAGAGAAGGATTGGGTGGAAGGTAAACAAGAAGGTAAAATTGAAGACAGGGCGAGGTATCAGGACAAGGGGAGGCGATGGGAAGAAGAGGAGGAAGAGGCAGAGGAGGAGGAGGAAGAAGAGGAAGAGGAAGGGAGTAGTGAGAGGAAGGATGATGATTGGGTGCCTTCTGCAGGGAGTGACAGGCGAGTGAGCTCTTGTGTTCCTGCCAAGGACTCAGCTCAGGTTTCCTGTTCCCCTCGTTCCTCTGCGCGGGTCACTCCCTCGTCTGCTCATTCCCGTTCTTCCCAAGGGTGTGTACGTATTCTTTACCCTCCCCCTAGAACTTCACAGCAGAGGCAGCAGCAGCAGCAGGGGTGGCAGAAGGGGGGTGAGGAAAAGGATGAGATTGTTTTGTCCGATATGGGTGGCCGCTTGTGTGTTTCTGATGGCGCTGCTGATGTTGCTGATGGTGCTGGCAAGTGTACCACTAGACGCTGCCTGCTCACCTGCTTTGGAGCATGCAAATACAAGAGCCTAGGGGAACTAGTGAGTAGCAAGGAGGTGGTGAGTGGCAATCACAGGAGCAGGGCGAGGGGGACCACTGCAGAAGCTGTGAGTGATGATCGCAGAAGGGGCAGCAGGAGGATAGATGTGAAGGGAAAGGATTTGGAGTGCGTTGAGGGAGCGGGGAGTGCAGGCGTGGTTGCAACAGGAACGGTCCATGCAGGGAGTTTGGCGCATGTTTCAAGTGACGCAGATAGAGTGGCTGAAACGGTGATGGGGCGCGGGACTCCCAAACGCAGACGCACAGCAGTTTGTGTTCGTGGGCAGAGAGAGGTGAGGGTGGTGGCTAAGAAAGGGGACGAGGATGTTTCTAAGGTTGTGGCTGATGGGGAGAAAGGGCCAGAGGATAATTGTAGGGAAGTCGATAGGGGGGAGGAGATGGAGAATGAGGTTGGGGAAATGGTCAAGGGGGAAGCGATCAAGGGGGAAAACGGGAGGACAGAATCAGAGAAGGGAGTGGGGCAGATTGTGCAGGAGATAGAGAAGAATGTGGGAGTGGTAACAAGGAGCCGCGAGTTAGGGGTATGGGGAAAGTGGGGGAAGGAGGAGGAAGGGGAGGTAATGGTTGAGCAGGAGGGAGGGCAAAGGGCGGAGACGGATGGGCAACACACAGGCAGGGAGCACGTGACTGTAAAGGATGAACGAGAAGCAGACAGGCAGGACGTGACTGTAAAGGGCGAACAAGAAGCAGACAGGCAGCATGTGTCTGTAAAGGGCGAACAAGAAGCAGACAGGCAGCATGTGACTGTAAAGGGCGAACAAGAAGCAGACAGGCAGCATGTGACTGTAAAGGGCGAACAAGAAGCAGACAGGCAGCATGTGACTGTAAATCTGGCTGAGACGAGCCACGAGGGGCAGCGTGAGAGAGACGGCAAGTGTGTGGATAAAGCTATTGAGTCGACTCAAAGGACGGGCTGTGAAGGGCAGCGTGAGAGAGACGGCAAGTGTGTGGATAAAGCTATTGAGTCGACTCAAAGGACGGGCTGTGAAGGGCAGCGTGAGAGAGACGGCAAGTGTGTGGATAAAGCTATTGAGTCGACTCAAAGGACGGGCTGTGAAGGGCAGCGTGAGAGAGACGGCAAGTGTGTGGATAAAGCTATTGAGTCGACTCAAAGGACGGGCTGTGAAGGGCAGCGTGAGAGAGACGGCAAGTGTGTGGATAAAGCTATTGAGTCGACTCAAAGGACGGGCTGTGAAGGGCAGCGTGAGAGAGACGGCAAGTGTGTGGATACAGCTATTGAGTCGACTCAAAGGACGGGCTGTGAAGGGCAGCGTGAGAGAGACGGCAAGTGTGTGGATAAAGCTATTGAGTCGACTCAAAGGACGGGCTGTGAAGGGCAGCGTGAGAGAGACGGCAAGTGTGTGGATAAAGCTATTGAGTCGACTCAAAGGACGGGCTGTGAAGGGCAGCGTGAGAGAGACGGCAAGTGTGTGGATAAAGCTATTGAGTCGACTCAAAGGACGGGCTGTGAAGGGCAGCGTGAGAGAGACGGCAAGTGTGTGGATAAAGCTATTGAGTCGACTCAAAGGACGGGCTGTGAAGGGCAGCGTGAGAGAGACGGCAAGTGTGTGGATAAAGCTATTGAGTCGACTCAAAGGACGGGCTGTGAAGGGCAGCGTGAGAGAGACGGGTGAGCTGGTGGAGAAATGGCTCTGCTGCGACGAGTGTGGCAAGTGGAGGAAGGTTCCCGGAAGCTACACCTATCCGGACGACCAGTTGTGGTTCTGTGGGTTGAACCCCGACCCTGCCCGGCGGGTTTGCGCCGACCCAGAGGAATCCACCAGTGCTGACTCAGACATTTCTTCGCTGCCCGGATTCTGCCCGGTAGAGGTGGCATTTGATGATAGGCTGCCCGCAAATGTTTCGCTATTCGTGGAGAGGATTAAGGGCAGGTTTCGGCGGGCTGAGTCGGAGTTGGAGTGGAGTGACGTGGAGCAAGGGGTGAGGTGGCTTGCTCGGATTGGTCCGGGGGAAGCAGCGAGGCTGGTTGCTGATACTGGTGGGGCTGGGGAGGAGGAGAGAGGAGGAGAGAGCAGAAGGGGGAGAGGAGCAAACAACGGAGGAGGGGGAGGAGTAAAGAGGGTCAGCAAGGGTATGGGCAGCAGTGGCACCAGCCGCAGGGCCAGTGAAGCAGAGGAAGGGAGGGGTATAAGAAGAAAGGGCCTGGTGCCCCCGGGGTGTGTGGGGCGTAGTGAGTGCTGCTCGCACCTGCTCACCTCCCTCGGGCTCGTCTGGGTGCCTGCCTCGCCCCACACACCTGGACACATAGCAAGAGGAGGAAGAGTGCGAGGGGGTGGAAATGGAGGAGGGAGGAGAGTCAATGGCGGCAGCAGAGGAGCAGGAGGAGGAGGAAATGGGCCACGAGTAAGGGGGGGAGGAAGGGGAGGTGGAGGAGGAAGAGGAGGTGGAGGAGGACGAGGAGGAGGTAGTGGTGCAGCAGCAGTGACAGCAGTGACAGCAGAGACTGGCTCTGGGCTGACAGGGTTGGATGTGCTCTCGGGCTTTAATGCACTGTCTGGCCTGCAGATGTTGACTGGTAGTCTTGGCGGTGTGAGAGACAGCACTGGTGGGAACTCGTCTCATGTCTCTGGTGCTGTAACGCCAACGAGAAGGGCAAGTTCTGCTGCTGGTGGTGGCTGTCTTGGCGGTGTGGGTGTGGGCGGTGTGCGAGACAACACCGGGGGAAACTCGTCTCATGTCTCTGATGCTGTACCAATTGCAAGCGCTGCTGCTGGGGATCCGATTCTTGATGTCGATGGCGCTGTTGCTGCTGGTGATGTTGACGGAGGAGGAGGAGAAGGAGGAGGAAGAGCAGGCGGAGCAGGAGGAGCTGTGGGAGCGGCAGGAGCAGGCGGCACAGGAGGGAGAGGCAGGCGAGGCAGGCAAAGGGCCAGCCCCTACCAGAGTGCGCGTGGTGCGTCTGGAGGGTCGTGGGTGCTGCCTCCCTCCCTCTCGCCCCACCTCACATTTGACTTTTCTTCCTTCCGCCACGCTCTCGCGATTTTTGACGGGCAGAGAGGGCCGGGAGGGCAGAGAGGGCTTTTAGGGAAGGAGGTGCAGGGGGGAGAGAAAAGGCAGAGAAAGCAGAAAGAGCAGGGAGGCGGGGTAAGGCGAAAGGGGGATATGCTTACAGATAGCACTGCTACCTGTGGTAGTAGTGATAGTGCTGCTGCTGCTGCCGCCGCCACCGCTGCCGCTGCTAGTAGTGCTGACGTGGCACATAGGGATTACCATTTCGTCTCGTCGGCCACTTTGATTGTGGTCCCCACCACGCTCGTCAGCCATTGGCTGACGCAGATCTCCCGCCACGTGGCACCGGGGGCTCTGCGCGTGTTTGTGTATGACGGGGCCAATCAGAAGGCGCCAGCTGTCCACAGCTTGGCGTGGGATTATGATGTGGTGGTAACCACGTTTAGCAGGCTGAGTGTGGAGTGGGGGGGAGGGGAGGATGGAGAGATGGGATGGAGGGGGGAGGAGGGGGATTGGGCGAGTGAGAGTGAGGGGTTTGGGAGTGAGGGTATGTGGTGTAATACAGAGGACGAGGAGGAGGAGGGAGAGGAGGAAGAGGGTGAGGACCAAGGGAAGGAAGAGGAAGGAGAGGAGGGTGCAGGGACAAGGGAACGTGTGGAACAAGCTAAGAAAGCTAAGAAGGGAGAAATGATGCAGAGAGTTGGAGAAGCTAGATCGGGAGATCGGAGCAGGAGGGGGGTCAAAAGAAGGTGGGAGGGACAAGCAGATGAGACAAACATCACCCACCAGTTGGGTGCTCTAAGGGAACGCACTCCCAGATGCAGACAAGCAGAGCCACTCGGATGGCCGTCTCATGGATGGCAGGACGGCGGGCGGCGGCCTCAGCGGGCGGCGAGGAAGCGGGTCCGGCTGGGAGTGAAGGAGAGCCGTCGGATCGCGTCCCCGCTGCTGCGCATCCATTGGCTGAGAGTGATTCTGGACGAGGGGCACACGCTGGGTGCCAGCCTGGCAGCCACGAACAAGCTGCGCATGGCTGTGGCTCTCAGGGCGGCACGGAGGTGGATTCTCACAGGCACGCCCACTCCCAGCACCCCGACCAGCCAGGTTAGTCGCTCCTCCTGCTGCTCCGACTACTCCCACCACTCTCCGCCACTCCCCACCACTTCCCACCACTCCTAGAACTCCCGTCTTAACCATTTACGGACGGCAGCAGGACATGTGGGGAAATATCAACCCTCTCTTCACATGCCTCCCCTTTCTTTCCCCATCCTCCTCCTCCCTCCCTTCACCCCACCTCTCAATCCCTGCAGGTAGCACATCTCTTCCCGCTGCTCTCCGTCCTACACGAGCCCATATACGGCCGGCAGCAGGGCGTGTGGGAGCGGGCGGTTCAGAAGCCTTTCGAGGCAGGCAGGCCTGAGGGGAGGCAGCGACTGGTGCAGGTGTTGACTCGGTGCATGTTCCTGGGGCAGAAGAAGGACGTGCTTTCCATTCCGCCTTGTGCTAGGAAGGTGGGTGAGAGGGCGCTCCGGGGTTGATAGGCCTGATGGGAGGTCACGACTAGGGCAGGTTTTATCTTGGTGCAGGTGTTGACCCGGTGCATGTTTCTGGGGCAGAAGAAGGACGTGCTCTCCATCCCGCCTTGTTCCAGGAAGGTGGGTGACCATCGGTGCGTGCGGAGGGAAGGTGGTTCAGAGGGCGGTGAGAGGTTGATAGGCCTGCAGTGGGCAGGCAGCGCCTGGTGCACGTGTTGATGCTGACTGACTCCGAGCATGTTCCTGGGATGTTATTTCATTGATTAGAAGCTCTGAAGCAGAAAGGCCATGTGCTTATCCCCGCCTCTCCTCTTCTTCCCACTCCACAGGTGAAGTCTCTCCTTCTCCCCCCAGCACGCTGCCTCCTACAACGAATTCGTCGAGACCGTTCAGCGAAACCTGCTGCTGCCAAATCACCCCTTCTTTCTCTTTGTCCCTTTTACTCATCTTGTTCTTCTGTCTCCCTCCTCTTCCCCCTCACTCTCCAGGTGAAGCTTCTATCCTTCTCCCCGCAGCACGCTGCCTCGTACAACGAATTCGTCGAAACCGTTCAGCGAAACTTGCTGCTCGCTGATTGGATGGACCCATCCCACGAGGAGTCCCTCTTAAACCCCCGCAACTTAAAGCAGGCCAAGCAGACACTCAATAACGTGCGCCTCTCGTGCTGCGTCGCTGGGCACATGGAAAGTTACGACCTGCCCGGGGATATTGACGAGACCATGCAGCAGCTGGTGCAGGGTGGGCTGGAGCCCGGCTCGGGCAGGTTTGAGGAGATTCGGGCAGCTTTGAAAGGAGGATGCTGCTGTGAAAGGTGGGTGGAGGAAGGATGGGTTCTTCTTGGCTTATTCATTCTCCTTACCACTCAACCTCGTTCAAACCATCTTGCACCTTTTCTGATAACATTTTGTCTACTAACTCTCACTCACTTTCTCACTCACCCTCACTCCCTCCCTCAGGTGTGGCGAGTGGGTTCGCCTCCCCATAGTCACCCCCTGCCCGCACCTGCTGTGCATCACGTGTGTGGCAACAGACAAGCACGCGTGCGCCATGCCGGGCTGTGCACGGCCGTACAGGATGCAGGAGCCCAAGGACATGAAGCGACCAGAGAATGCGAATCCTAAATGGAGTGTGCCGCAGGACTTGATCGAGCTACAGCCATCATATGAACAGGTGGGTTCCTTCTGGGGTTGTACATTCTAGGAGAGGAGGGGTGGGAGTGCGCCTGCCTGACAGTGCTGCATGCAGGAGCGCCTAAGGACATGAAGCGCCCTGAGAATGCCAACCCCAAGTGGAGCGTGCCGCAGGATTTGATCGAGCTGCAACCATCATATGAACAGGTGGGGTCCGTTTAGGGTTGAAGTATCTGAGTCCACCTCACATCCTGCCATCTGTTGATACGTAGAGAAGGGAGGGAGGGGGTGTGCGTGTGTGTGGTCGGAGAGCCAGATTACCATTTGTTTGTACGAGGGTGGGCGGCCCGGAGCGGGATCTGGGGCGGCAGGCAACAGCCAACCCCAGATGGGCCCTCCTCACCACCTCGTCTCACCCTATTCTCTCCGTTTATTCCACTTTTCCTCTCCTCCCTTCCCCCTTCGTCCCTCTCGTTCCATGCAGAGGGAGTGGCATCTGGAGTGGCAGGCCACAGCCAGCACCAAAGTGGACTATCTTCTCTCCCAGCTGCGCCTGCTCGCTCCCCCTCCCCCTCCTCCCTCCCCCGCATCAACTCCGTTTTACCCGACAGCAGACCCACCACCAGTGGCACCTCAGTCAGCTGACCCGCATTTGCCGCCACATTCAGTACAGTCACCATTAGCAGCAGCACAGACACGCATAGTATCACATGCGGTCATGTCCCCGCCACCAGTGCATGCGTTAGACGAGCCGATGGCTGGTTGTCCAGGATCGCTCTTGAGGTCTCCCAAAGGGGATTGCAATACAGCAGGGCAGCGCGAGGAGGCAGCAGATGGCTGTGCCATGGAGGCAGATGCTCCTGTGGCTGCTGCTGGGGGCTATGGTGGGGAGAGGGGGGGAAATGGCGGGGAGAGGGGGGGAAACTGCGGGGAGAAAGGCGCGAATGGTGGGGGAAAGGGAGGTTACGGAGGAGAGAGGTGGGGTTATGGTGGGGGAAAGGGAGGGTACGGAGGCGAGAAGGCGATAGTGTTCACGCAGTTTCTGGAGCACATAGCGCTGCTGGAGGCCCAGCTCACACTCGCGGGTGTCAACTTCGCTGGGCTCTACAGCCCCCGACCCCAATCCGTCAAGGTGTGTGAGCCCCATACCATCTCGTCAGTCGCATATCATGGTCCCATTTTGTTCAAGTCAGACCCATTTTGTTCAAGTCAGACCCATTTTGTTCAGGCCGGACTTATCATGTGAAGACCGTCTGATCTGATTGCTCTGTCATGGCTGCAATCTAAGTCAGCTCACATATTGTCCTGTGGGCCTTGCAGGACCAACATATGATTTTCACCTCCAACTGAAGCACATTCATCCATCCGTGACTCGTGCCCTGCCCGGTGCCCTCTTGATCCATGAATGCAATCATTTGACTGTGTCTGCATATGTGTGATGTGGTGTGGTGTGATGCAACGTGATGTGGTGGTGAGTCTATTTGATGTGTGATGTGATGTGTGTGGATGCATGTACATATCCATGTGCCACCACTGCATGTGTGACTATAACGAGAGCAGATGCAGGAGCTGCTGCGCTTCCAGCACGACCCTGCGTGCCGTGTGCTTCTAATGGACGGCACGGGGTCACTCGGGCTCGACCTCTCCTTTGTGTCACGCGTCTTCCTCATGGAGCCTGTGTGGGACCCCAGGTACAACTGGTATCCCTTCTTGTAATCATGACCTCATGCGAGCATGGAGTGAGCCACAACCTCAGGCAGGCGTGCAGTGAGCCACACTCAAGTGCATGCTATGCGGGCCGTGACCCTACCATAGTATTGACTGTATTTTCCATGACTGTATTGACTCAACCCCATTCCTGTGTCCCACGTGCCCTCCATGTCCCCCATGCCTTTGTGGCCTCCATACCCCTCCCGTGCCCCTCATGCCCCCCATGTCCCTCTTGCCCCTACCAATGCCCCCCCCCCCATGCCCCTCCCGTACCCCTCCTCCCTCTATTCAACCCCTCTCTCCCCCTGTCAGTGTGGAGGAGCAGATGGTATCAAGGGCGCATCGCATGGGCGCCTCTCGGCCAATCACGGTGGAGACATTGGCCATGGCAGGCACGCTGGAAGAGCATATGCTGCAGATACTGCAGGTAGATCTGGTGCTGGTAGGTCTTGTGCAGGTAGGCCTGGTGCAGGCCGATTCGGTGCAGGTTCTGGTGCAAGTATGGTGTTTTTATGCCCGGGTCACACATCCTTCTCGTCTTTCTAATCAACCTCCCCTCCTCTACAGCATGCTTTTCTCCCCGAATCTCCTCCCATCAGCACCTGCCTGACAGCGGGGCGCAGGCGAAGCAGAGGCAGGCACAGGAGGCAGCACCATCCTGCTCGCCCTTGCAATCCTCACCTCCTCCGCTTCTCCCCTTGCTTCCCCTTCTTCCTTCGCTTCCCCATTCTTCCCCTCTTCGGTGCAGCGCCTGCCTGACAGTGGAGCACAAGCGAAGCAGAGGCAGGCGAGGGAGGCCGAGACACACAACGCCATCCTGCTGGCGCTGAAGCTCGTCCGCACCGCCAACTCCTCTCCTACCCGTCTAATCCTCTTCTCTGTCTCTCATCCCCTTTCCACTGTCCTGGCTCATCTCCTAACCCTCAGCGCCTGCCTGACAGCGGGGTGCAGGCGAAGCAGAGGCAGGCAAGGGAAGCAGTGGCGCGCAACGCGATTCTGCTCGCACTGAAGCTTGTCCGCACTGCTGACTCTTCTCTGCCACTCTCGCCCTCCAACACCACCTCCCCTGCTAAACCACTCTCCTCCCCCCACCCCATCTCGCCCGCCAAGCTCCTCTCCTCGTCTCTCTCTCTCCAACTCTCACCTTTCAACACCACCTCCCCTCCCAACCCGCTCTCCTCCTTCCAAGCCTTCTCCCCTGCCAAACCCCTCTCCTCCGCCCACCCCCTCGGTTCCCCTACCCCCCTGTCATCCTGCCAGTTCCTCACTCGCTCCAACCTCTCACCCTCCCCCTCCCTCTCCCTGTCGGCAACTTCCCTGCAGCCTCCTGCCTCTCCTAGCCCTCTCAATGCATCCCTCTCCCCAACTGGCCAATCAGCAGTGAATGGGTGCTGCTTGGATGCTGGTCAGCACAAGTCAATGTTTGGGCCAGGCACATTTGAGGGAGGTACAGCTGCTGAAGGCGCATTTGAAACAGGTGGGGGAGGCACAGCTGGTGCCACCAGTGAGGCTGCAGGCACCAGCATGGTTCCCCTGCTTGGCGCTGCCACAGCAGGCGGTGCAGCAAGGGCATCGGAGGCAGGGGCAGGGGGTGTGGTAGGGGCGGTTGCTGCTCACACTTCACATGCTTCTGCTGCTTGTGGCAGAGGGGAAAGGGAGAGTGGTGCATTTGCAGGGCAGGCAGGATGGGGATCCAGTGCACGGGAGCATGGAGGCACACGGGAGGATGGAGGCACACGGGAGGATGGAGGCACACGAGAGGATGGAGGCACACGAGAGGAAGGGCATGCAAAGGAAGGGGGGCATCTAGAGAAGGAGCGGCATTCAGAGGGTGGAAAGGAAAGGGATGGTTGTCAAACAAAAGAAAGGGGAGGCATTGCTGCCACGGAGCTCAGGGAGGGTAGCATTGAGGCACCAGCAGTGGAAGGAGCAGAAGGCAAGGGGAATCGGAGACGGCGGGTGGTGCGGTTTGCAGATGAAGGCATGCAGCCGGAGCTTCTGGCTAGGGTGCTCAGACCAGCAGCTGAATGAGTCTCTACACCAGCGCCAGCACACTACTGAAATCATTTGAATATAACGGTGCTTGTTAGCTTTAATACACTCTATCGGTACAGATATATTATAACGATATGCTGTGTTGTATGGAAGTGTATATATGTAGCTTCTGCATGCTCAGCTTGAAATGCTTGAATGTGAGACTGTTTGGAAGCCTAGCTGTAACTGAATGGCTCACAAGCCAACGAATGCTGGTAGGATCGTGTCAGGTGGTAGTGTGCGTCAATACATGCAGGCACCATTTGTTGGATTGAGCTATAACAGCAGCAATTAAGGCAACACACAAGAAAATCGGCACCATATAACCATCACAGTACAGCACCAATCGCTGAGCCATGAGCCTACAGTGCCACCAACTCCTGCTCTGCAATCCATGTCTGGCCTGCTTGCAGCTCCACCTCCGATAGCTGAAAAGAAGGGGGAAAACAAAATATGAGGAAGCACAGGACAGGAGAGGGAAGAGAGGTTAAGAGAGGTGAAGAGAGGTCTGCCTACAAATGCACTTCCTGGAGGGGTGACGAGGAGCGAGGGGAGAGGGAATGAGACGAGCAGAGCAAGGGGAAGAGCAGGCATCACATGCAGGCATCACATGCAGGAAACGGATTGGAGTGGACAGGGCAAAGAAGGGACGGGGAGGGGAGCGAGTTAGCAAGTCAACAAAGAAGCGACAAGCAGACACACCACACAGACTTGCACCTTGCTTCCCAAGGTTTCACCTTGGCATTCTCAACACAGACGAAGTCGAGGTAGCAGGCAGGCATGGTGAGGTGAGGGCTCCACACGACAGCGTCAGTCCACCCCTTGTTGCGGATGGCTAGCTTCCTGCCCAGCCCGTTGTCCAGCACGAGCTCCTCCGGTGTGTTGAGATACATGCAATCCACGAAGCCGGGGAAGGTGACTTCGTCCCTGGGGAAGAGAGAAGGTGGAAGGGGCAAAACGTTAGGAAGGAAGAATCAGGAAGGGGGAATCAAGGTTGGCCCTCACTGCCAGCCCGTTGTCCAACACGAGCTCCTCTGGCGTGTTGTGTTGAGATACAAGCAGTGTACGAAGCCGGGGAAGGTCACCTCGTCCGTGGGGAAGACACGGGGAGAGGAAAGAGTTGAGAATCTTAGACAAGGACAAGCCTTCCCTGGCAACCCATTTTCCAAGACGAGTTGCTCACCAGGACGATCTCCTCTGGCGTGTTGAGATACAAGCAGTGTACGAAGCCGGGGAAGGTCACCTCGTCCGTGGGGGAGAGAGAAAGTGGAGGTAGCACGACGAAGTTAGGAAGGGAGAATGAGGAAGGGAGGGTCGTGCCTTTGCACTGGTTGGGTCAGACTCCTTGTTGTTGATCCTAGATACCTCCTTTCATCCCCCACTCGGTTCCACAATCTGTTTGCCCCATTTCTCTCACCTCTCCTCCACGCCCGCGATGGGGTTGGTGGGGTCGGGGTCCTTGTTGAGTGACTTGGCGCCCTTTAGTCCCGCCACCTTCACTCCGCCAATGGCAGCCTGCCACGTGGGAAGGAGGGGGCATGCGTGGTAACACAGGATGGGAAGAGAAGTCAACACGTGGTTGACTGGAAACCCTTGAATTGGGCAGGCATGCACCGCACATCTGGAAAGAGGAGTGCAGAGCGGTGGTGAAGGAGAAGGGGATACCATGTCACTGTGGTGCTAGCATGTCAGTGGCAGTGGAACCCAGTGGAACCCAATGCAGTGGCCGTGCAGCATGCTGTGTAGCGTGCCATGAAAAGCCAAGCAGATGTGGTGTGGCAGGGTAGCATACCCGGAAGTAGGAGTGCAGAGCAGTGGTGAAGGAGAAGGGCTTGCTGTCCGTGTTGGCCACTGTGAAAGCCGTTTCCAGCTTCCCCTCCGATAGGGAGATCTGTGTGAGGGAGGAGGACGAAGGGGGGGGTAGTGACGGATAAGAAGGAGGAGGAGAAGAAGAACGAGGAGGAGGGAACATATAAAAGCGTGTTTGAGCTGACTGTCAGGCTGAGTCAGCGTCAGACAGGGCGATCGGTGTGGGTAGGGAGGGATGGAAGGCGTGAGGCTTTTCACAGGCGCCGGGAAAGAAGGGATGTGCGATGCTTGATTTGGCTCAGCCTGTCCGGTATTCAACATATAGTGCCTCGTCTGCATGCGAGAGTTGGAGAGAAGCAGTGGTACCTTGAAGGTGGCCTTGAATGCGAAGTCCCACATGGCCCGCGAGTACTCGTTGTTAGAGAGCGCGAGGATGGTGGGGAAGAGAGTGAGTGAGGAACAGAATCAGCGAGGGCGAGGGAGAGGCCGGTCGTACCTTGAAGGTGGCCTTGAATGCGAAGTCCCACATGGCCCGCGAGTACTCGTTGTCGGAGAGGGCTAAGGTGAGCGAGGGGGACGCGCCCCCCTCCGCTGCCTCCACGTCCCACGTCAGGTTGCGCGCAAAGCCGTGCTGCGCGGAGCAAGGGGGGAGGGATGGGCGGACGGGAGGTGCGGAGAGATGAGTGGGATAAGAGGGGGGAAGGGGATGGGCAGAAAGGGAGGGGAAGGGGGAGTGCACTGAATGTGGTCATGCGCAAAAGCACTGCTGAAGTTACCTCACGCCGACTACATGGCGTCATGGCACTTGCTGCATGACGTCATCTTACCTGCTGCATTGCACCCGGCCCAAATTGGGGGAAGCAGTGCGGAATGCCGCCGCTGATGGGCTTAGCGCCCGTGAACAGCGGCGCAGCGACAGAATGAGTCATTGCAGCAGTGGATCACCTTGTGTTTGATTTGACCAGACTGCACTGACTGTGCTCTTATGCATCCCCTACCTGCTGCATGACGCCCGGGCCGAACTGCGGGAAGCAGTGTGGGATGCCGCCGCTGATGGGCTTGGCCCCGGTGAACAGCGCGTCCGCGTGAACAGCGCGTCCGTGAACAGCGCAGCGCAACTTACCTGCTGCATGGCGCCCGGGCCGAATTGGGGGAAGCAGTGCGGAATGCCGCCGCTGATGGGCTTGGCGCCAGTGAACACCGCGTCGGGCCGCACGAACAGCAGGTCCTCGCCGGACGGAAGCTTCCAGGAAGTCGTGCAGGCGCCGTAGAGGTACACCTCGGCCGTGCTGACAGGGTTAGAGCCGAGATGGAGAAGGAAGTCGAGAGGGATTGGGTGGGGAGGTAAGGTGGATAAGGATAGACCAGATGGGGGAGGGAGGAGGGAAGGAGCTTGAGGGAAGAAGAGAGGGGGAGGGGACGACGGAAAGGCAAAGAGACAGGATGGGCGCGTCAAAACACTCTTTGGGTACGACTATGAAACTGGGCAGGTTTCGGAGAGGGGAAACACGAGAGGGACGGCATGAGCGCACCTGCCGGAGGCGTCTGCGAGAATGACACGTGGCAGGCCGCCCAGCCCGTCGTCGAAGCTCACTCCGTCCTTGCCGAACTTGGCCTGGAGGTCCTTGGAGCTAGGCTCGGTTCTGGTACGGAGCGACACGGAGGCACGGGGGAAGAAGGAACGGGAAAAGGTACAGCTTTGGAAAAAATGTACGAAGTCTCGGATGTCAATCAAATTTTCGCATGCGGCAGAAAGTCTGGCTTGGCTCTCGTGCTGTCAAGATGTTGCGTGAAATCAAACATCGGAGGTCCAGCCAGAGACATGTGGCATTCGCGGATACCAGTGACCTACGCGGCAGACGCCGACACGTTGACGCGGGAGACGTGGGTCCTCCCGCTGTTGGCTCCTCGCGAAGCCGCTGCACGCAGAGGATTCACGGGAAGAATGGCGGCATGGAGCCTGTCAGCGGCTGACGCGTGGCTCGCTGTGACGGGGCTGCGGACCGCCAGTTGAGACAGGAGCGCGGAATGAGCGGCGACGGCGCGAGCCACGAGATGCTCGAGGGAAGAGCAACACGTGGAATATCCGTCGCGCTCGCGAGAGCTCGTGCCGAAATGTGTTACGCTGGTGTGTTACGTTTTGTCTCGGTGTCCTGCAACAAGTTGTTCGGTATTAGGTAACTCGTGATTAGGTAGCTCGTGATGACATTACAAGTACACCAGAGAGGGCAGCAGCAGTCTTCGATAGTCATAATCGTAATGCCGAAAGGTTAAGGTTATATAAAGGTCGTAACCAACCGTAATGCCAAAAGGAGGGAAAACGTCGAAGAGCAACACGTGGAATATCCGTCGCGCTCGCGAGAGCTCGTGCCGAAATGTGTTACGCTGGTGTGTTACGTTTTGTCTCGGTGTCCTGCAACAAGTTGTTCGGTATTAGGTAACTCGTGATTAGGTAGCTCGTGATGACATTACAAGTACACCAGAGAGGGCAGCAGCAGTCTTCGATAGTCATAATCGTAATGCCGAAAGGTTAAGGTTATATAAAGGTCGTAACCAACCGTAATGCCAAAAGGAGGGAAAACGTCGAAGCGTGCCTCGGGCTTGCTCCATTTGTAGTTGTAGTACGAATGCTGGTGAAGTTTGCTCGAGTCGAGTCTAACATTCTAGACGCTCCGTTTCGACCTCCGTTTGACTCCTATTCCAGTTTCCACCTGTCCGTCTGCGCACTTTCCCTCCGCATTCTAGTCGAACATCTCAGCTGTAATTTTCTGCGCTTTAATCAGCATAAAGTCACCCAGCCATGGGGGACGAAACGGTGTCCAGGCTGTTCCGCGTGAGACGGACGATTTTCGAGGTCCGTTGCGTTCTACATCATGCTCCATTACGTATCAGGACGGCACGTTACGCAATCTATTCCGCTGTTTCCCTCTGTTCTAAAAAATATCAATAAATCCCTTGCCCTTTCCCCTAACCCCTCTTCGTGTTACATTTCACACGCTTATCTATCATTTTCGGTATCTTTTAGTGATTTGAATATTCCCGCGTGAGTTTTGTTGGCTGGTCAGATGCTACTCGATCGCGGGTACCTAGTAGCTGATCGCGAGCTTCGATCGACCAAGGATGATTTCAGAGACCAATTCGGGGACGACCCTCAACGAGACGATCTGACGCTACTGAAGCAGAAAAAAGACAACCCTAGCGACGAGGTGGGAAACCTAAGTGTTGATTGAAGCACATGTATACGAGGCTCAGGGTGGGCATCAGAATGTCGTTTGTCTTGTTTTAAGGCCTTCTTCCTCTATTCCCCTTTTTTTCCTCCTCTTGCTATAGGCTCCCCTCCTCCTTGCACACACTACTCTTCCCTTCTCTCACTTCCCTCCCGCCTCTCCTTCTAACACACACACCCCCGACCTCTCATCCTGCTTCTCCCTGTCCTCTCCCCCTGCTTCCCCCTTTCCTCCCTTCACCGTACTCCCCCGTCTCCCCTCTCCCCACTCCCCTCGCCCCACTCCCCTTTTTCCTCCTCTCACATCCTTGTCTCATCTCACACCCTACCCGCATGAACCCACATCCCCCCTGAACCCGCACCCTCGCTGAACCCACACCCCCCGGAAACCCACATGCACAGATCTACGTGTTCTTCCCGGTGGAGGCGAATGTGGGCATCAGGACCACTTCTGAGGCGCCTCTCCACGCACTACTCTCCCCTCCTCCCACCCCGTTCCCCTCTTTTTATCATCTCACACCAATCCCTCACCCTCCCCCTTCCCATCCCCTTACACACACATGCACAGATCTACGTGTTTTTCCTGGTGGAGGCGAAGGTGGGCATCAAGACTACTTCTGAGGCGCCTCAGAAGAAGTGACACACACTACTCTCCCCTCCTCCCACCCCGTTCCCCTCTTTTCATCATCTCACACCAATCCCTCTCCCTCCCCCTTCCCCTCCCCATGCACCCACACGCACAGATCTACGTGTTCTTCCCGGTGGAGGCGAAGGTGGGCATCAAGACGCTAAAGGGGTACTACGAGAAGATGAAGGGGTCGGGGCTGTCGCGCGCCATCATGGTGGTGCAGCAGAACCTCACGCCCTTCTCCAAGAAGATCCTTGCTGACATGGCGCCCAAATACATCATTGAAGTCTTCCAGGTACGAGTTTCTCACATGTTTCAGGTGATGAGTTTTTTGTAAGGCGGGGGTTACATGGAGTCAATCCATGAACCTCACGCCCTTCTCCAAGAAGATCCTTGTTGACATGGAGCCCAAGTACATCATCGAGGTCTTCCAGGTACGAGTTTCTCATGCGTTACATATAGGTGTTCAATGTGATGGTATACTGAGGTCCTTTGGGTGATTACCCTTAGTAGAATTGTTGTGTTTGGTTTCTTTGCTTATATGGCCCTGCATGTATTGTCGTTCCTTTCTGAGCATCACTTTGCTGGCATTTCATTCAATCCCTGTCTTACTCAATGCACAATGGCAGGAGGGCGAGCTTTTGGTGAATGTGACGAAGCACGAGTTGGTGCCGCAGCATGTGGTGTTGACAGAGGAGGAGAAGCACATTCTGCTGGAGAGATACACCGTCAAGGAGCACCAGGTGTGTCTGACAGGCATGGGTTTGAGTTCTTTTCTTGGCTCTGAGTCTCATTGAGTGTCCTCATCTCTCTCTCGCGCTCTTCACGTCTATCACCCTCCCGCCAACCCCCAACATTTTCCCCCTCACCCCTGCTCCCCTTGTTTCACCTACCCGGCTACCAAGTGTTCAGTGCATATGTCATGTGCTGCCCCATGCCCAGATACTAGCTCTCTCTTGCATTTCTGTCTTATCACCCTCCTCAACCCTCTCCTTGGCCCTCACACCAGCTGACCTGCATGTAGAGGAATAATCTGTGCTTGAGTGCTTTGGGTTGGTTAGCTATCTTTCATATGCATGCAATTATAGATCCAGTGCACATGTCTTGTTCATTCCCTCTCCCTCACGCCAGCTGCCTCGCATGCAGAGGAGTGATCCCGTGGCTCGGTACTTCGGGCTCAACAGAGGGCAGGTGGTGAAGGTTCTCAGAAACAGTGAAACTGCTGGCAGATATATTAACTACCGGCTCGTAGTGTGATTGCGGCATCGGACTGGTGGGAACAAATATACAACTGGCTGCAACCTACTATGTGCAGGTGACTAATCCAATTAATAATATAATGGTTGCGTCTAACTAGGGAGGGGGTTTCATAATCTCTGACATGAAGCTGTAGGATGTGCTTCATAAGCTGTAGAAATATGTAAAACATGTTAGATGCATGAACCGTGGTCGATTTTGTTATCAAGCTCATTAAGCAAAATGTAACACAACGAAGCGGCGAAGCCTGCAGTGTTGCGAAGTTACCTTCCCCTAAAATTTCACAAATCCGTTCACATTTCGCTTAAAGCGACGGGCAACTTTTGGCAGTGTTGGGTTCGGAAGTTTTTTTTTTGAACCAGGCTTGCCAGCGCGAAAGTGCTGGCTGGCGAAAACCAGGATTTCGTGCGGACACTTTCCATCCGCAGTAACAGTTCGCCAGGGTTCTGGGTTTTGGGTGGCAAATGTGCACCGTCGCTTTAACTCTGGTGCAATGCCGTCCACTCATTCTACTGATAACCTATCACATTCACACCTAATAACTCAGGCTCTACTCTTGAGTCTCTGATCTACTCAGACTGTACGGAACGTTTTTTCCACTTCTTCGACAGACCTTAGGAAGTTAGATCAATTTACCTCAACGACGCGTCCCAAGTCACGCATTGCGGACAGATTGTTGCTTTTCAACTGTCTGCTCCTCCTCGTTGAAGCACTTGTACGTAAGTGTACCAGGTTAAATTCTTATTAACGGCCAATGGTAACCCCCCGACAATGCTACTTCTCCGTCGCTCTCTTTTCAGTCTCTTCGCTCCAGGTCGGCTCTGCTTCCACGGCGCCCGTTTCTTTACCCTTGCCCCCATTACCATCCTCGCATGCCACTCATTGCACACCCATGTCTCGTCTACTCCCTCCCTTTTCTCCCCCGTGCGAACCCTTTCGGCTCGTCTCGTTACCGCCAGCGTGCTCCGTCGTCTGGCCTTCCTTCCATTCGGTGACCCGCGAAAAACCCACACGTACGCCACTGCCGTCCGCGAGTGGGGAGCGACAGCCATCACACCCACACTCCTTCCATTCGCGAGTAGAAAGTGAATTTTCTCGCACTCACGCCGCCGCCCTGCGCGAGTAGGGAGTGACAACCCCCACACTCACGCCGTCGCGTTGCGCGAGTGGGGAGCGACACAATGCCGGCCTCGGCGCCTTACTCACCCACGCCAGTCGCCTCCTCGCCACTCCCCAAGTGAGTCTCGCCTCGCCACCATCCACGTGCGTCTCTCCTTTCCAGTCGCCTCTTTCGTTGACTCGTCTGCATGTCTCTGTAAGTTTAGTTGTCGTTTTCCTCTCCTTGCGGCTGTGGTGGGTGTGCTCTCCTGCCTTACTCCCAGCGACATTTCAATGCAAAATGTTGTCACCTGCACGAATGCTGCACGAGCCATGCGACACGTACACGCATTGACGTGGCACAACCAATCTCCTTCCTCACTCCCACTAACAGGCGTGCAACGGACACCTTTGAGCCGCTGAAAGCCCCCAGAGGTTCAGCACGGGGAACCCTGCTGGCAGAATTCGCAGTGGTGGTGCTGCTCGCCTGCGCGCCCCTCTCCTGGCGCCTCGGCACCCAACCTTCCTAAGACGCACTTCAAAACCCTGCCTTCGCTCCTCACCTCCCCCAACTCCCCCCTATGATCTATCCCCATGCCCACCTCTCCCCACTCTCCAGGCGAGCAATGGACACCTTTGAGCCGCTGAAAGCCCCCAGGGGGGGCTCAGCATGGGGCACCCTGCTGGCAGCGCTGGCGGTGGTGGTGCTGCTCGCCTGCGCGCCCCTCTCCTGGCGCCTCAGCACCAAGCCCTGGCGCCCGCACCTCTTCCCGCCAGTGTGCCGCCCGCCCACGCACGTGCACGCACAGGCGGATCAGCTGCCCCGCTTGTTCATGTTTATCGGCACTGAGGGGAGTGGGCATGACCTGTTTGAGTATATCTTCAGGTACCATATCCGTACCTGCCAGCCTCTCACTCCACCCACACAGGTACATTGTAGCGCGCAGGCAGATCAGCTGCCTCGCTTGTTCATGTTCATTGGCACTGAAGGGAGCGGGCGGGCACGACCTCTTTGAGTATATCTTTAGATAGGGTTCCCCCCATACCTACCAATTTGCCAGTGGGACCACAATGGGGATTCTCCTCGTGTGCTCGTGCTCATCAGCACTGAAGAAGCGGGCATGTCCTGTTGGCTACATTTTCACGGTTACGTTGGCCTGCCCGTTGCCTCTCATTTCACCGCCTTCCTGCCTCTGCCTCTCTCGATATCCCTCTCTCCCTCCCCCTCCCGTTTCCTCCAGCTACCTGCCAGTGAACATAAGCATAGACCGTTTCAACCCCGACCTGCACCTCACGACATCGCCAGGGCAGAAGGTGGCCTCTGCACAGGACCCCACCGGCGCCACTGTCGACTGCCCCAAGCTGCCCTACTCCCGCCACGTCTACGACTTTGGTGTTCGCATGTCCACCGCACTCAAGTCCAAGCTCCAGGTAACGCCTAGTCATGGCCATAAGCCTGATTGAGACCTCTGAGTGTTGACTGCCTCAAGCTGCCCTACTCGTGTACGACTTTGGTGTTCGCATGTCCACAGCCCTGAAGTCCAAGCCCCAGGTAACTGCTTCTTGTGCCTGCCTGTGCACTACCTGCTCACTTGAAGAGTTGTGTCGACTGCCCCAAGCTGCCCTACTCCCGCCACGTCTACGACTTTGGTGTTCGCATGTCCACCGCACTCAAGTCCAAGCTCCAGGTAACCCCTTCGTGTACCTTCCCGTGCATTGATAAGCTACCTGCTCGCTTGAGGAGTCTTTGTGTCGACTGCCCCAAGCTGCCATACCCACCCCATATTTATGACTTTGATTTTCGCATCTCCATCGCTCTCAAGAAGGTCCAGGGACGCTCTCAAGAAGGTCCAGGGACGCTCTCAAGAAGGTCCAGGGACGCTCTCAAGAAGGTCCAGGGACGCTCTCAAGAAGGTCCAGGGACGCTCTCAAGAAGGTCCAGGGACGCTCTCAAGAAGGTCCAGGGACGCTCTCAAGAAGGTCCAGGGACGCTCTCAAGAAGGTCCAGGGACGCTCTCAAGAAGGTCCAGGGACGCTCTCAAACATGCACAGAGCAAACTCGCTCAATCACCTCCTTCTGCTGTCCTTTGCCACTCACTCCCCTTCTCTGGGCAGGACACCAACTTCTACCTGCGCGCCAGGGACCCCTTCCCCATGGGCCGCATTCGCACACCACTGGCTCGCCCCGACCTCATCTCGCTTGCGACATTCCATGGCATTCTGTATAACCTCAAGGTATGAATGCATCCCACTGCTCCTTCTCTTCTCACTGCTCTTTCTCTTCTCACTGCTCCTTCTCTTCCCACTGCTCCTTCTCTTCTCACTGCTCTTTCTCTTCTCACTGCTCCTTCTCTTCCCACTGCTCCTTCTCTTCTCACTGCTCTTTCTCTTCTCACTGCTCCTTCTCTTCCCACTGCTCCTTCTCTTCCCACTGCTCCTTTTCTTCCCACTGCTCCTTCTCTTCTCACTGCTCCTTCTCTTCTCACTGCTCCTTCTCTTCTCACTGCTCCTTCTCTTCTCACTGCTCCTTCTCTTCCCACTGCTCTTTCTCTTCTCACTGCTCCTTCTCTTCCCACTGCTCCTTCTCTTCCCACTGCTCCTTCTCTTCTCACTGCTCCTTCTCTTCTCACTGCTCCTTCTCTTCTCACTGCTCCTTTTATGTCCAACCTGCTCTTTGTGCGTCGCACCACGCTCTCTCGCCCCCTTGGTAACACCCTCACACCCTGCGCCTCTCCCTCCCCCCACCCCTTCCCCTGCAGCTCGTGGTGCTCGTCCCCCCACCCACCGCATGGCCCGTGACCGTGAGGTGCTGGTGCGCAATCTCACCGACACGGTCCTCTGCGCCATGCGCTGCCCCTTCCACCACGGACCTGCCGTCACATCTCTTTCTATCTCCCCCCTGCCCGTCTTGCGCGCCACCACCCTCTTCCCCTTGGTGACACCCAGCCTGACATCCTGCCTCTCTCCCCTCTCCCCGCGTTCCCTCTTGCCGCTCGTGGTGGTGCATAACTGACAGACACGGTCCTCTGGTCCGTGCTGCGCCACTTCCACTCGCCTCAAGTCACTTCTCTCCCCCCTGTTCATCTTGCACGGCACGACCCTCCCCCCCAACGCCATCCTTTCCCCCCTTTTTCAGCTCGTGGTGCTGGTGCGAAACCTGACAGACACGGTGCTCTGGTCTGTGCTGAGGCGCTTCCACAACGACGACGTGGGGCTGCAGGCGAGGCTGATAGAGGACAGCATGGTCTACATCGATGCCTCCCTCAGGACTCTGCCTTGCGGCACCTTCAGCCTCATCGACGTGGATGCACTTGTGAAAAGACCCAAGGTACGGGGAGCGGGATGGGAAGTAGTGTGCATGTGGGGAGGCCGATGGATAGGGTGTGGGGCCGCAGGCGCGGCTGATCGAGGCCAGCATGGTGGTGCATTCAATTCAATGCTGTGCATCATGCATAGCTTTCTATGTATTATCCTTTCCCCGTTTCCAAGCTTCTGAACATGCCCCCTTGCCCCCCCTCTTGTCCATTCTGTCTCTCTGCCCCCCCAGACCGCCTCCACTGCTCTGGCTCAGTTCCTGGGGCTACCCGGAGTAGCCAAGGAGGAGGTGTTCAGTGCGATACAGCGCGGTAAGGAGAAGTGGGAGCCAACCCTCACAGTGCAGAGTGGGCTGGGGGCAACAGCAGATGGGGACGAGGCGGCAGAGGTCACATTCGACGGGCAGGCACTTGAAGTGTTCTTCCAGCAACGCGTGGGGCTGTGGCCTCTGCTGGATGCAGCTAAGGGGAAACCCGTCTTTGTGCCACGTAACCCACAGGACTGGCCTCTGGAGTAATACCCAAGAACCATCCACAAGTGCTGAGGCATTTTTTCCAGCAGCACGTGGGGCTGTGGCCGCTGCTGGACGCAGCTGAGGGGAACCCGTTTTTGTGCCGCGCAACCCACAGGACTGGTCTCTGGAATGTTTTCCTAGAGCCATTTAGGGCACTGTTTATTGTGCGATTGAGGTGTGGTGTGGATGGTGTTTGGATCTGCCGCATGCACCCATACGGGCCCTGTTGTAGGTTGGCTTAGGGATCAAATAATTGCATGCGCGGCACAACCACAAGGAGCGGCCTTGGTTGTGAGTAATGATTTTCAGCTGATTTTGGTGGGGGTGGTGATCGTCTAGGGTTGATTTGGTACGGTATTTGTAGCCTACAGCTTGCCAGCATGTATATTTTTCTTGAGCATTTTTCTAAATCTGAAGTGGGTGTCGACACTGCTTGTTACGCGTCTGGCAAGTCCGAAATGGGCTTGCTTGGGATTTTACTGCACCCGCGATCTTCCCAAGGTCAATTCCAGTCAGCACTCTGGTTGATCGTATGTCACTCCTATTCAAGCAATATCACTTTCCAAGTCAACTTGTCCTTTTGCAGTCGTCTGCTTCAGGGTTTTCCATAAATCTCTTAGTTTAAACGACGCCGTTCAACTAATGGTCTTGTCTCGAAGGCGTCGCTTCGCCGTGAATGGCGCCGGACTTGCCGCAGAGGGTCCACTGGGTATCCCTGTCGGCGTGCTGATAGGATTCGTCGCACTCGTCGCATGCGTAATCGCCACGGGGTACTATGCGACGTCGCGTGCGAATCAGGAGGCCGCCGAGGCGAAGGCGAAGCTCGCAGAGATGGAGAAGCGATGGGCGGAGCGAGGGGGGCTGTCGCAGTCGCAGGGAGGGCAGGCGGAACCTCCTCCAGGGGGGTTAGGAACCACGCAGGCAGGAGGGATGAGCCAGATGAAGATGGATGCAGGTCGGTTCTGCGCGGTCGTGGTGCTGGTTGTTTGGTTTCCTGTATATCCTGCAGTGTCATCTGAATACCTCCATCACACTTTCTCAATCAACTTAACGAGCCGTGCACCCTCAATCAACTCATCTGATTACCATCCACCACCTCTCCCCTTACATTTTCCCCCTTTCCACCTTTCCCCATTCCTCTCAGCTTCAGAAGCAGCAGCAGCAGCATCCGCTGGGCTAGCCACATGCTCTGCAGACTTAAAGCGAGCGAAGCAGCAGCTGCGCATTGCAAGGGGGTGGGTGCGAGAGGGGTTGGAGCACTGCGTTAAGCTGAGGAAGAAATACTCCAAGGCCCGGCACAAGTGGCAGGCGCGCAAGGGGAAGGGCGGAGCTAGTGCAGCGGCTGCTGCTGCTGGTGCTGCTGATGGTGATAGTGGTTACGGTGATGGGATTGGTGCGCTTTTTGACAATCATGGGCATGGGGATGGTAGCGGTGATGATGATAAAGATGATGCTGATGCTCATAAGCATGACCATGACCATGACCATGACGAAGGGCATGAGCATGAGCATGAGCACGCGCATGGCCATGATCGCAATGATGAAGAAGCGGACCACGATGATCATGAGGCCGCGGATGAGGGCAAACATGACAATGACCATGATGGGCATAGCGACGATCATGGTGATGAGCATAGCGATGAGCATGGTGACAATCCCAAGGGGAAATCTTCCAAGCATGGTGAAGAGGATGATGAGAAAGATGAGAAGGACGATGAGGACAAGGAGGATAAGGAGGATGAGCATGGCCTGGACAAGCATGGTGGTGATGGGGATGGTGATAGGGATGATACGCATGTGAAGGATCGTAAGGATGATGACGAAGATGAGAAGGACGATGATGCTGACCATGAAATAGGCGTGAAGGCTGGTGTGGGTGTATAAGTTGGGGGTGACTGGACACGAGAAGATACATCAGTTATGAAACAAGGCTTATCGGTACTGGATACTGACAATGTGATGTGCATAACAGCATAGGATTTTGGATTATTGCTTACCCCGTATAGCTTATTCGCATCAAGAATTTTCTGGTTGAGTTTTCTGTACGCACCTACTGAAATTTGCACTATACTGCACTTGTCAATGAATGGGGGACCATTGCCCAACCATTGGAGGAACCACATGCCGGTGACCATCAGGCTAGCATCAGGCACTCAAAACCGGGGTGCACATTCAGCTGAATGTGCATCAAAGGTTATCCCTTGACTGAGTGGGTTACGAGGTGTGCTTTCAACCCCTTCAAGTCGAAATTCGTTTCCCCCCTCCCCCGCAATTTCGTTTCCCCACGCCCCCGCAATTTCATTTCCCCCTCCCCGTCGAAATTCGTTTCCCCCCTCCCCCGCAATTTTGTTTCCCCCCTCCCCCGCAATTTCGTTTCCCCCCCCTCCCGCCAATCTGTTTCATCCCTCCCGCCATTCGGTTTCACCCACTCCCGCCATTTCACCCCCTCCCGCCACCTACGAAATGCCCGAAGCTCTAGCGGAATCATTTTTTTGTCGCCCCTCGTGAGCCAATCACTGTTTTTCTCCAAACCCCCTTCCCAACATCTCAAGCCGAACCGCGTTGAATGTGCACCCTGGTTTCAAATCGGGGATGGTGCACCAAGTGTCGCGCGGTGTGGCATGTGTCGCATGCTGGGTAGCACAACCATGCACTCAGGGAGGCCAGAGGAAGGAGCCACATGCAGCTACATCAGGCACTCCAATCCGGGATGGTGAGGCGTGTATCGCGGTGAGCCATGAGGTGCATGCTGGGCACCCGGTTCCGCACCTCCCGCCACACCATGTCCACCGCATCGCCTGCCCTCGCTGGTTGCTGTTGGGGACAGGCATGGGGACAGCAATGAGAACAGGTATTGGAACAGGTACCTCCCGCCACACCATGTCCACCGCATCGCCTGCCCTCGCTGGTTGCTGTTGGGGACAGGCATGGGGACAGCAATGAGAACAGGTATTGGAACAGGTACCTCCCTCCACACCATGTCCACAGCGTCTCCTGCCCTCGCTAGTTGCTGCCGGGGTTAGGTGTGGGGACAGGCATGGGAACAAGCATGAGAACAGGATGTAGGACAGGCATGGGGACAGGGATAATGGCAGACATGACAGGTACGGGAACAGGTATGGAAATAGTAACATACCTGGAACTCGAAGTGCTTCTGCACTTGATGCACCTCGTGCCACATCGCCAGCCAATCCTGCTCTGACACCTGGCGCAGTGCGGAAACCAGGCGGCCTTTGACTAGGGCGTCCTGGGAGGAGCAGAGGGGCGGCAGTGTGGAAGGAAGAAATGAGGAAGTCAAGTGAACACAGGATGTTTCATATAAAGTGCAAATTAGAAGAGCACCTAAGCTTATCTTGTTTGATTAGAACACATCTGTCTTTCATGCAAGAAGAAGCAAGCATGAGGGCTCTGACACGTTTATACTGGGAAAGGAAGAGTGCTAGGCAGGAGTCGTCCTTTGAGTCGACTTAAAAGTCAAGTCATAAGGCAAACCCAACACCCTCGCCGAGACTCACATACCGGCCTCTTGAGAGAAGAAGAGCGCGAGGCGGGAGGAGTCAATCGCTGACTCGAAGGGCAGCTCCACGCGGTCACCGACAACCACCAGCACACACCCACTCATGCCAGGTAACACAGGGCTCTGGTTGGGTTAACGAGAGCGTGAGAGGGTCACCTGTTGGGAAAAGAAGAGCGTGAGGCGCGAGTAGTCGATGGCTGATTCGAATGGTAGCTCCACGTAATCACTGACGACCACGGGCACACACCCACTCATGATGGCATTGAAGAAACGCGATGAGGACGGCGTGTCGCCCTCCACGTGCAGGCAGAAGCGCGACCGCCGCATGCCCTCCTGGGACTGCAGCAGAAGGGGGGAGGAGGAACGGACATGCAGAGAGAGTAGCGCAAGAATGCTGGGATTTGGAATGAGAAGCAGGAGGGTATGAGGGTGAGGCACCCTGGACGTGCAGTGATAAGCGTGCCCGCTGCATGCCGTCTGGGGACTGGACGGTGTCGCATAATAGAGTGGTCATTTCAGAATGTGGAGTTGGTGGAAAGAGGAAGGGCAGGTGCGGTGAGGAAGGGCAAGGTGGGTGAGGTGGGCGAGTCAGAGGAGGGATGGGAGGCTAGCAACTTGACCATGGAGGAAGGAAAATAGGTAGGAAAGGCAATTTGTCCATGGTGGAAGGTAAGAAGGTAGGAAAGGCACTTCGACCATGGTGGAACATGATAGGTGTATAAGGAGGATACAGTGTTGGATTGGAGGTGAGATCCACAGGAGGAACAGAGCGCTAGAGCCTTGTAGGTGGGGAAGTTCTTCCGCCTGAGCAGGTTGACCATGGTGGACGCGAAGAAGGGCACGAGAAACACAACATGTCTATAACGAGGACGTAGTGTTGGGGGTTGAGAGAGTGCAATACCGCCAGAGCCTTGTAGGTGGGGAAGTTCTTCCTTCGGAGCAGGTTGACCATGGTGGAGGCGAAGAAGGGCACGAGAAACACGTCCGCGTGTGCGGGGTCCCTCACCCTCACTGCCGCCACTCCAGGGTCTCTCTTCTGTTGGTGCGAGGGAGGGGAGAGCACACGGTTACATCACATGAGAAACATGGAGCGGCATGCAGCATGCCCCCTCTCACACGGACATCCGGAGCGGGGGAGGGGAAGGGTAGCGTGTCTCATAAGGAGGTACAGAGGGGCATGCGGCATGTCTCACGGACGCACCGAGGGCGGTTGCAGCAGGTCTGCAACGAGGAAGTATTCGAGGCTGTGCTGCCACGCCGTGGGATGCACGTCGCCGCCCGCCGGCCACCCCCACGGCGGAATGGGCGGCTCGTCCATGCTGCGGTTCGTGCGCTGCTCCTGCCGCGTCTTCCACTTGGGTTCCATCAGGCCCAGATTCATCCGACGTGGCAGCTCGTGCACGTACACGCGCACCCGCCCGTCCCAGCACTGCTCGCCCTCACCATCTCGATTGCGTTTATTCTCGCTTTTAGCTTCGCTGGATGTGCTTCTATCGGGGCGAGTACTTTCGCTGTTGTCGCGTTCGCTATGACTCGGTTCTGTCGTCCTTCCGTCGACCTGATCGCTGTCGTCGTGAATGGCAATCTGGCTATTGCTCGTTTTACCACGGTTTTCCCGCAATGCAACATCGGACGGCGGAGGGAGAGCTGGTGAAGAATCGGACGGTGGATGATGAGTTGAGAGAGCGGTGGGTGGGGATGCCTCGAAGAGGTCCTCTACTCGCGCGATCTCCGCTGGCTGGCGGGTGACGAGCAGCAGAGCGACTCCCAGGAAGAGTGCGACAGGGAATGCGACGATTCGCGGCACCTTTTGTCGCATGAGCCGAACGACGGCTCCATCCATGGGGCCAGCCTGGCGTCGCCTCGTCGCTCTAGCACGCTAACTACGCCCAGTAATAGGGTACGGATTCCACTGACATTGCGAGAAAGGCTAAGTGAGCGTAAAGAGCCGGTCGAACAAGACTGCCAGGTCAGACTGCCAGAGCGATGTAGCCATACGTAGTAGAGGATTAACGTGGATTACACATGGAGATTCGCGAAAAAAAGCCAGTGAAAGCACAGCGATACGAAACGTCGATACAGGGAAATGAACGTCGCAACTTCTCACTGCAACCATGGAAAGAGATACGGCCAAGGAGCTACTAATGAGGTACTTCGACGTTAGCCTGAATGGAGTAGATTCTCTGAACAGAGCAACCTTGATTTTGCCATACAAGAGTCAGTGTATCAGATCACAGACTTTTGCCAAGATGAGTGCTTTACAAGGAGTCTCGAATTTACCTTACAAGAGGAATGTTTGTATCTTCTTGTATGATGACTTGTTATCGGTGTAGTGAACTCTACAAGTCAAATGGGAGGCTTGGACGCCAATCACTTTCTGTCAGACATTTCAAAATGTTTCCCGCTCAAACACGGACCGCTTGCAAACTTTTGAATTTCTGCAGCGACTCGTTTTTCTCGCTGCAAACCGCGGCGCGCCAGTCATAATTTAGGGAATTCATGAAACAGACCTTCCCCCCCCTACCTCACTTGTCTGTGGCAGCAGCACCCTCTCTCGTCTCCTCTTCCCCTCTCGCCATTGCAGATCCAAGCCTTAGTCTTGGCTCCACGTCTCCAGCACACCGTAGCTACCGAAGTCTGCTGTTTCTATTGCTGTTCTCACCATCGCCGAGTGTAGTCTTCTCACTTCAGTAGTCTCGCTGTTTGATGATATGTTCGTATTCTCCTTAGCTACGTCAGATCTGTCCAGTGATTTTTCCGTGCGATCTTCAGAGTACATGTAATAGCTCGCCACGCTTTCTTCAGTCCTTTCTAGTCACTCAGTTACGCGTCATAGCTTTTAGCAATGGCAACCGTATCAGGAAAGCGCAGTGGTCGGAGACCTGGTAGGCTACAGAACAAGCTCTCCTTCTCCTCCCGCTTCAACGACGAAAACGCCTTCCCCTATTCCCCATCTTTCTCAAAACCTTCCCCCACTCTTCTCGCTGACGTCACTACTCCCGCGCTTCCACTGCCCGTGGAAACCGTTACCGGCAGCGAGGAGGTGCATCCGGTGGGCCTCGCGGCCGTCACGCAATGGTTTGACGGCTCCGTCAAGTCGGGCCACCCGCCAACCAGCAGATCCGGCGTCCGATCTGCGCTACAGGATTTTTCCGACAATTCCTTCTTTTCCTTCCCGTCGGGAAAATCAGCCGCGATGTCAGCGTTTGGGATGAAGAGCGTTAACGAGAACAACCGGCGGAACACGTCGGTGCCTGCAGCTGCGGTCCCTCCGCAAAGCACGCAATCCTTAGTCGAGATGTTACCGTCCAACACGCTCAAGGCAACAGAGCTCGTGCCTTCCGTACCTATCGTGCCGCCCCGTCTCTCCGCGTCCGTCCGTCAGTCTATCTCCGGCGCCCCCCCTTTTCTTGCTAACTACACCAGCTACTCTGCCGTCGGACTCTGTTCCGCTCCGTCATCTCGACGGACGTCGTTAAGCTTCGCCGGCAGTGTTGACGGCAGCGTCTCCTCGTCCTCCGCAGCATTGGCGTTTCCGCCCCCGTCGCGTACCAGCCAGCGGCGGATCTCCGCCCTGGCGGAAAGCGCGGGGGATTTTTCCGCCATGCTGCCGGACGAGCGGGAGTTTCTTGCGGACGTGGCGGAGTTCCACGGACTCCCCGCCCGCGCGTCGCTGCTGTCTTTGCCGCCTTTGGCGGAAAGCTTTCCGCCACAGGCTCGGCAGCTGCAGAACGGAGCAGGGAGGCGAGTGAGCCTGGCGTGGATGTCGCTTGACGGACAGCTGAAGAACGTGGAAGCGTTGACGGAAAACGTCGGAGCTAGCGGCGTGTTGACGGAAGATGAACAACAATCCTGGCTGAGCATCCCGCCCGTCTACGTGAGCGCCTTGACTATTTTTAACTCCGTTCTGTCGCTTGTTGATCCACGCGAAAGCTTCAATTCATTATCTCGTGAAGCAGTTTGCGGCATGTACCAGCCTGCTGCGCTGCCCTTGTGAATTACAACTCATGGGAATATCAGGATGATATCAGCGTCAATGTTACTTTGGGTTCTTTTATTCTCCTCCTTCTGCAGCGCGCGTTAATCCTCACGATGACGTGGAAGGCGGTCTCGACGGCCAGGACGCAGATGAAGCGCGAGTTTGCGCGGATCCGGAAGTTGATACGCGCTAAGGACAATGATGCGCGGTCTTTGCGCAAGAAGCTCGTCACCTTGCGATCGCAGCAGCCCAAATCTGTCGTCTCGTCGCCCGTCGCCAGCCCGTCGTCGGGCGTCGCACGCGTCGCAGAAGGTGGTCGGAGTCCCGCGAAAGCGAGCGGTGATGATTCACAGGTAGGTGCTGAAGACTCGTTCGTTGTTGTCATCTTGGCGAGGATAAGGAGCCGTTATGTTTGCATCACACGCAAATCCTCTTCGTTATGTCTTCGTTCGAATGCTATCCGTCTCCATTTCAATCATCAATTCTTGCTTCTTCCTCACTTTGTATTCTTCTTTGCATCTTCAGGTGCAGCCGCTACTGCAGGCCAAGGACCTCGAATTGAAACTGCTGGAGGAACAGTTGAAACGCGTGGAGATGGAACGGGATGAGATGGGTGGGAAGATGAAACGGGCTGCTGAGGAGATGCAACGGATGGAGGAGCAGCTGAAAGGCAGGGAGGAACGTGTAAGGAGCATGGGAGAGGAGCTGAAACGTGGGAATGAAGCGAAAGAGCAGGCGGGGAGGGAGATGAAACGCATGGACGCGGAGATGAACCGGATGGCGGAGGAGATGAAACGCTCGGAGGGCCGGTGCGGGGAGGTTGAGGCGTCGCGAGCCGCGACTCAGGAGGCTCTGAACATTGCCGTTGCTTCGAACTCCGCGCTGAAGGTGAGACAAACGAGTGTGATTATAGTTGTTCCTCGTATTGCCAGATGTACTGCAGAGAGAATTCATGCTCTCTTTGTTCCACGGCGTGCGTACTATGTGGCATGACCTACACTCTGCTCGTCTGTGAATTGTGAATGCGCGTCTCCCGCGTCGCCTCGCAGGACCTGATGGCGCTGCAGGCGGCGCACATCGCGGAGCTCAAAGCCCTCGTTCTCGGTCAGACCGAGGCCATTCAGGAGCTGACACGTGGCAGCACGGCAGTGAATGGCGCAGATGCCGGGGGGCAAGAGGAGGACGCGGAGGGGGGCGAGGAGGAAAAGGAAAAGACGGCGGACGAGAAGGTGGAAGGGGAGGCGGAACAGAAGGCGGAGGAGGCGGAGAAGGCGGAAGATGCGAGGAGCGCGGGGATGGACGAGCTGATGGCCATGGTGAGCCGCTCGGGCCGCACCGTATTTGTGCTTGTCGCGCCATGCCTTCACGTCATGCCGTGTGTTGTGCTTACGCTCTTCTGGACTTACCCGTTGCTTCCTACTTTCCTCTCACGTTCTATTTTCACCTCCCCCATTCACTCCTCCCCCGGAACCCCCCCCCCTCCCCCCCAGCTGTCCCACCAGTCCGCGGAGATATCCGCCCTCAGCCGCGCGGTGCAGGCCTCTACCTCCGCCCTCCGCCGCACCCCCTCGCCCCACGCGTCCCCTTCGGCTTCCCCCGAGATCAGCACCCCCCTCACGGCAAAACTCGCCGTATCTGCAGGGGGAGGGGTAGGGGGAGGCGCAGGCGCAGGCGCACCCGCGGAGCCGGGGTTGTGGCGGATGGGGCTCCCCCTGCTGGGGTCGCCCGTGGGGTTCACGCCCTCTCCCCCTGGCAAGGGGGAGATGAGGGTGGTTGCGCGGATCAGGGGGAACGTGTATGGCGCAGTGCCCAAGTACGGGGGCGCGGGGACGGATGGGGCGCGTGCGGGGGAGAAAATGGGGACGGTTGAGGAGGAAGGGTGGGGAGTGGCGATCGGTGGTGGCGCTGGTAACACTGGTAACAGTGGTTACAGTGGTAACTATGTTAACAATGCTATGACTGGTGGCGGCAGTGGTGTTGGGGGGAGAAGCAGCAGTTGCGGTGTTGAGGGCGCTGCTGTGATGGGCGGGGCAAGGAAGTTGTCTCTGGGGATAGGCAGCAATGGGAGAGGCTCGGCAGTGCTGCCGCATCTCGCCCTGCCCCAAGTCCAAGGCCCCGTTGACCCCGTTGGCCCTGTTGGCCCTGTTGACCCTGTTGACCCTGTTGACTGTGCCGAGGAGGCTGGAGCAGGAAAGCATGGCAATGATTGTACGGAGGGAGGGAGGGAGAACGCGGAGGTAGATGAGGGAGAGGGAGAAGAGGAGGAGTATGAGGAGGTACAGCAGTTCTTCTCTGCCCCTGCTTCTCCCTTCTCCTCCATGCCCTCCACCCCCACTGCTGCTGCTGCCGTTGCTTCTGCTCCTGCTGCTGCTTCAGCTGATGGTGATGCTGCTGCTGCTGACGCGGCTTCAACCGTTGAAAGGGTCGTTTCAACGGCGAAGGACATCCATGCAGGGGAGGGAGAGGAGGAGCAGCAGAGGGAGGTGCAACCGAAGGAGCAGAGGGAGAGTGGGAAAAGGAGGGCGAGTGAGGGCAGTGGGAGCATATTCCGAGTGGGAGGAGTATTCAACCACGGAACCACCACCAGCAGCGCCGCCGCCGCAGAAAAGTCTCGGACAGCTACCAAGCCGAAGTCAGGTCTGGTACCTCCAGGCTCGGCTTCAAGCAGCAGGCTCAGAAAGCTGGTTCGGGCGGAGTCTCAGCCGCAAGGGAGGATGGGGAGCAGGAAGTTATCCATGGAGTGTGGTGGGGGTGGGGGAAGGGAGAGAGGGGAGGGAGTGCGGGGGGAAGGGCTGAGGGCGAGTGTGGAAAGAGGGATGGTGAGAAGCAGGAGTGAGAGAACCCCTTTTACCGGTCCCCATGCTCCCCCCAACACTCCTGATGCTTCTACTGTTCGAGTGCAACGGGGTGGGAGGGCAGGAGGAGGGGGTGAGGGTGTGGAGGGGCGGGCACTGCGGGAGAGTGGGCGAGTGAACGGCCGAAACGGCGAGGGGAAGAGGGCAGCAGGGGGAAAGGGCGTGCAGAGTGGGGCTATGCCGAGATGGAAGTTCTGAGAGGTCTGGTCGTGAGGGGATGGCTGTGAGACGGTGGTCGTGAGGGGATGGCTGTGAGACGGTGGTCGTGAGGGGATGGCTGTGAGACGGTGGTCGTGAGGGCAAGGGCAGGCAGAACTGCAGGTGGAGAGGGGAGGGGAGGGGATGGAAGAGGAGAGGAGGAGAGGAGAGGAGAGGGGGAAAGGTGAGGTGAAGAGGAATGGTAAGGAGGGGAGGAATGGTGAGGAGAGGAGCAACGGTGAGGAGGGGAGGAATGGTGAGGAGAGGAGCAACGGTGAGGAGAGGAGCAACGGTGAGGAGAGGAGCAACGGTGAGGAGAGGAGCAACGGTGAGGAGAGGAGCAACGGTGAGGAGAGGAGCAAAGGTGAGGAGGGGAGGGTAAGTGAAGGGGAGGAGGGGAGGTGAATGAGAGGGGGAAAGGTGAAAGTAGGAGGAAAGGTGAGAATGGGAGGGTAGGTGAGGAGGGGAGGTAATGTGAGAAGAGGAGGAGGTGATTTGGGGAAGGGAGGTGAGAGGAAAGGTAAGGAGAGGACGAGAGGTGGGGGGAGAGGTACGGAGAGAAGGAGAGAAGGAGAGAAGGAGAGAAGGAGAGAAGGAGAGAAGGAGAGAAGGAGAGAAGGAGAGAAGGAGAGAAGGAGAGAAGGAGAGAAGGAGAGAAGGAGAGAAGGAGAGAAGGAGAGAAGGAGAGAAGGAGAGAAGGAGAGAAGGAGAGAAGGAGAGAAGGAGAGAAGGAGAGAAGGAGAGAAGGAGAGAAGGAGAGAAGGAGAGAAGGAGAGAAGGAGAGAAGGAGAGAAGGAGAGAAGGAGAGAAGGAGAGAAGGAGAGAAGGAGAGAAGGAGAGAAGGAGAGAAGGAGAGAAGGAGAGAAGGAGAGAAGGAGAGAAGGAGAGAAGGAGAGAAGGAGAGAAGGAGAGAAGGAGAGAAGGAGAGAAGGAGAGAAGGAGAGAAGGAGAGAAGGAGAGAAGGAGAGAAGAAGAGCAATGGTAGGTTGTGAGGAGAGGTGAGGTGAGGTGAGGTGAGGTGAGGTGAGGTGAGGTGAGGTGAGGTGAGGTGAGGTGAGGTGAGGTGAGGAGAGGAGGAGAGGTGGGAAGGGACGGAATGTGAGGAGCAGGAGAGAGGCTAGTTTGACAGGTGTGAAGGAGAGAAGGAGAGGTGAGAGGAATGGTAAGCGGGAGAGCAATGGAAAGGTAAGAGCAATGGTAGGTTGTGAGCAGAGGTGAGGGGAGGAGAGGTGAGTAGAGGTGAGGTGAGGTGAGGTGAGGAAAGGTGAGGAGAGGTGAGGAGAGGTGAGGAGAGGTGAGGAAAGGCGAGGAGAGGTGAGGTGAGGTGAGGAGAGGAGAGGTGGGAGGGGACGGAATGTGAGGAGCAGGAGAGAGGCTAGTTTGACAGGTGTGCTAGGCATAAGTGGGATGAGCGCTGTAGGGTTTCAGAGGCATGAGGGGTGAGTGGAGAGCGATTGTTGGGTGATAGGTATACCGTAGGTATGTGAAGGGTATAGGGGGGAGGAAGAGGGAGGTTAGTGTTGTGCCAAAGTACTATAGTGGCACGGTCATCGCACTCCCATTCAGCCTACAAGCCTGCTCAGCTACTGGAATTTTGTGGGGAGGTGCTTCAACATTTGTTCTTGAATGTTTGAAGCAGTTTACAAGGCATGGCAACATTTTTAGTTTCAAGACTTATGGCATCCCGGAAGTGTGTGTTACTCTTTTTTGGTAACACCCGAGTTCACCATTTCGGCTGCTGACTCATCTACCGAGCTCTGATTGGTCTGAAAATCGGTGTGGCAGTCCTTTGCCATGTTGTGCAGGTGGTCACCGAGTTTCAGGACAACCCAGCATCGGAGCAGCACGTGACAGCTGTCGAAAGTTACTGTTCCGTAGTCATGGTGCACTGTTGGCAGCATTTCCCTTGCCACCCTTTCATTGTTGTCATGCCAATGGTGCAGGGACAGAGAATGAGACAAGAAGTACAGGTGGTCAAGTGGGACTCTACCACCCTCCTTTTGAGAAGTGTGGTCTTCCTGGAAGCAGCTTGCAAGAGGGTGCAAGAGGGTGCAAGTGGGAAGACAAGCTGACTCATGGTTGGCTTGACTCACTATTGGTAGCCTTGAGTACAGCTCTGAACATCCAAGTGTGGTTGGCTTTGCTGACCTAGCTAGGACGTTTCCCATCCTTCTCTAGCCTTTCTCCCCTAGGACTCAACCTTCTTTGAGTTCCCAGGATGGTCCCAACCCCTTAAGAGTCCCCTAGGCAATGTTGTACTCAACCTCTTCCTTGCATCAATGAAGCTACTCGTTTTTCAGCCGAGCTTACGTTTTTGTTGACTGCGTAGTGCATACACCTCTGATGAAAGCAAGCCATATACCGTTGGAAAGCAGACACCTGAAGCTAACGTCTATTAACGTCCAAGTTTCAGCCTCGTTTATTATCGGAGCTGATCGTGACGGCGTTTTGAACAGAGACGGTTCGAAGTCACCAGATTCTGCTTAGGCGGTTTCAAGGGCATCTACGACCCCTAAGTGGACTCTAGACTATAACAAGTGGTATCAGAGCGGTTCTTCTCTGTTCCTGGGTCAATATGGAGGCTGAAGGTTCTGCTCCAGCTGGTCCTAGTGGCAGTGGTGGCGTGAGAGGCGCTGGGGAAGCAGGAAGAGGTGTTGTAGGCGGATCTGCACCAATAGCATCCGTTACAACACCAGCCAAGGATGATGTGAAGGCATTCAACCTAGAGAAGTTCTCTGAGGAGGATTGGGCATCATGGAGCTTCAGGATGGAGCTCCTATTTAACCATTATGGGCTGCTTGAAGTGATGGATGGAGAATTGAAGAGGCCTGCGAGCGAAGGAGCGACCAAGGAATGGGATCGCCGATCCAAGGATGGATTCTTCCTTCTCTCTCAATGTCTCTCATCCAACCAGCTGCACCATGTCAAGCATCTCATCAAGGATATCCAGTGTGGTCCCAAGGCATGGAAAATATTGAAGGATGTCCATGCCCCCAGCAGCGAAGCGATGGTGGTGGTGCTCGAACGACAACTCCATGCGGTGAAGATCAACGAGGGTGATGCGGTGCAAGGAGCGTTCGATCAACTCCGGGACCTCTATGTGAAGCTCTCTGCTGCTGGTGTGGACTACCCTGAAAACATCAAGTGCTACAAGGCTCTCTCGCTGCTGCCGGAGTCGTGGGGCCCCTTGGTGGTCAACCTCAACGGCATGAAGGACTCATGGTCCCTTGAGTGGATTCGTGCTCAAGTCCTTCAAGAGGAGTTTCGGAGGAAGGAGCTGACTGCCGCTGCCGGTGAAGGTGGAGGCTCTGCCTGGCATGAAAGGCTTCAAGGGATGTGGCAGCAAGAAAGGCAAGGCCAAGGAAGGCTCTGGAGGGGAGCAGTATTCGGGAGGGAAGCGTAGCAACAAGGGAGGCAAGCGGTGTGGCGGCAAGTGTTGGTATTGCCATGTGGAAGGTCACCCATGGTTTAAGTGTCGCAAGCTACCTGATGGTTGGAGGCCTGGTCAGCCATCAATTGAGGGCTCTAAGGGTGTTCATGGAGCTATGGGAGAAGGCATGGGCAGTGAGGAGGGCGATGGAGGTGCCGGCGGACATGGCGGCATGTTCTACCATGTAGGAGAGGCATGCTCCGAGGATATGGTTGTACCGGCCAGGAAGGTTGCTCTTCACCGTTCCTCCCATTGGGTCATCGACACGGGAGCCTTCATGACCATGACCAACCGAGAGGATCTGCTGGATAAAGTCAGGCCATCGAAGGCAGCCACCGTTGTTTCAGCCACCGGCCAAGTTGTACCCGTGCGTGGCGAGGGGAGAGCCATGTTTATGGGTGCGGATGGGAGGCTTGTGGGGCTGAAGCGTGTTCTCCTTGTCCCTGGACTATGTGCCAACCTTCTCTCTACCAAGGCATTGAGTGAGGCAGGGATGAAGATGGAGATGATGGGCACAAAGGTGTTCAAGGCAACTCTGGATGGGCGCGTGTTGTGGGACCTCCGAGGCGGCAAGGACATCCACCGGTCCATGTGGGAGATACCGGTGCTGCCATGGAAGGAGGCGGCTGCGCGCTTGGCTGCTGAAGCTGTAAGAGGAGGGCATGCAAGCCACGTAACCAGTGGAGGAGGTGGTGATGGCAGTGATGGTGGGCTGCTTGTGCATGGGGGGGGTGCTCTACCAAGTGTAACTCCTAGCACGGGTGAGACGGATTGGCTCACCGCACACCGTCGCTTTGGCCACGTGGCGCTACCTCAGTTACAGCAGCTGTTTAAGGAGGAAAGAGTCAAGGGGCTGAGGATAAATGGGGAGCCCAAGGAGGTGGGCTCTTGTGAGACTTGCTTGACCAGCAAGTTCTCACGATTTCCCTTCCATTCGACGGTGGGGCAGTCAAGTGACCCGGTGGAGCTCGTGCATGTGGATCTTGTGGGGCCCATGAAGGTGAAGGGAGATGGTGGAGCCCTGTATTCCATGACTATGGTGGATGATTACACAAGGCTCACCTGGTCTTTTCCACTTGCAAAGAAGAGTGATGCTGCAAGGGTCATCATTGAAGAGTGGCTGCCCATGGTGGAGCGAGAGAGCGGCAAGCGGGTGAAGGCGATTCGTAGCGACCGTGGTGGGGAGTTTTTGGGAGCGGAGTTCCGGAGCTGGTTGAAGCGGCATGGCATCAAGCAGCAGCTCACCACGGCCTACACCCCTCAGTCCAACGGCATGGCAGAGAGAGCGAACCGGACCATCATAGAGGGCGGGAGAACGATTTTGGTGGACTCGGGTCTACCCTTGCGGTTCTGGCCCCTCGCTATTCGTCATGCTACCGTCATCAAGAACCGGGTGTTGACTCATGTGGGAGGTCAGCATTGGGTCCCTATGGAGAAGTGGAGTGGCAAGAAGCCCCTGGTTGATATGCTTCGTGTCTTCGGGTGCATGGGGCTCGTGCATGTCCCTAAGGAGAAGCGTGACAAGCTTCAAGCGGCAGCGGTGTGGGCTGTTCATTTGGGTCTTGCACGG